GCTTGATAACACGATAAATAAATCGCTATTGGGTATTTCAGATTATGCAATTAGTAAGCACGTACATACATATGGCTTCATAGATAGTCTCAAGATATCGAAGTTCTACAGATTTAATTTCTTCCGAAAAAACGAAACTACAAACATAAGGAGTTTAAATTATGGGTCTCATACATGGCAGGATTACCGTTGATCCCTCCTTTTTTAAACCATCGGTTATTAAGGATACTTTGCAGCAGAAAGTTAATTTGTGAAACCAGATTAAACCGATTGACTCGTAAGGTCCCAATCCTTTCTTTCTTCAGGTCCCTGTAAAGTTCATTAGCCATTTAACCACAATAGCCACACCACAAACAGGGTATGCAGGCAGAAGAGTTCAAGCTCAGACAATGGCGTACAAATATTTTTGTACCGAGTTATTTTAGGACAATGCTAATGCCAAACATTCGGAAGACCCAAATTAAGTAAATCCACTCTGGAATGCAAGTCACAAAGAAAAGGTGTCATTAACTTCAATAGTGTTGTCGATGTGGATATGTGCGTTTTTTGTTATTAATTGTATTATTAGATTATAGCATTGTTAACCTAAGCTGCTAATGCTAATGCTTATGAAGAGTCGTTTCATATCCTTATTTAAAATTCATAAATGTTATATGGTCCCTTTATTCAGAAAATGTGAAGTATACGAATTCGAAAAACCCACGAAAAATTATAATTAAGCTAATTATTTACGTATGTTTCCAGTACATAGGTAGTTGGAATATTAGGCTTAGCAATTCATTAAAACAATGAACAAACACTTATATGTACGTTAACCGAGTAATAACTACGTATGCATAAGTATACCCATTATTCGCATTATACATGTGCTTCTCACTAAACCATCGTGTCTTATAGTTTCTTGATTATCGTTTTAAAAGATTCCAGATTATTGAAATTTGTATACTATTTATTTGTTTGGAGCTTTTATGCGTTAATAAATACAGATGTGCTGTGAAAATTTCATGTGTAGACGATTATCGCATTTACGTACATATACATATCCTAAAAATTACTGCACATATATATCTATTATCTATGATATCTTCCAGTAATGGTGCTCCATAGAACATTTGCGAATTTTCTACATTTTTTATTATCATTAATACAAGATGCAAAAATTTGAGAAATATGCCATTTGTTTTCTGTGTACAGAAAGGTTTTTTAGAATTCCTGATGGAAGCCTTGAAAGCTTGAGTATAATCAAAAAAATGTCGCACTCTATTAAAGTTACATATATTATATAAATACAATATAAAAGATTTATTGTTTCCTTGTATCAAAATACTTCCAATTGCTAAACAGATCCATATTTTCTTAATTAGTTGAATTATAGTGATTAGTACCTTATCAAACACATATTAAATAAGAAACGTAGCGCGAATCGGAATGAATCATCGTGCCATATCGGATGAGTAATAGTAATCCTTACATTGTGACATTTGAGACCGAGATTGTTCTATACATTGAGGAATCAGTACAAGTGCAAATGAATCAACAAGGGTTAATTCATTAATCCAGCCAACAGTTTCTCAATTGGTATGTGAAAAGCACATTCAAATTTATTGTATAAGGATCATGGCCACATAAATGTTTCATGAGCTCGGAGTGCAGTTACTCCATCCAATCAATTATCAATAGCCATTTTCTAAAGCAAAGTACAGAAATAGCTTTCCTCAGTTGATTGATAATCTGACGCGATATTCAACACAAAAATCGCATTCTCTTCTCAGGCTGTACATACATATGTACCATAAGATCTGCTTACGTATGTACATATCTATGTACGTATGTATACAACCATGATGCCATTCATCCGTGGAACGGAGAAGATGCAAACACATAATGGTCAGTTTAGTCAAGTTGTGGCTGGTGGTAGCAGCAATAAAAAACCTTTGGTCATTGGACTTCCTAGTGATTCATGCTACTTTCATCAACATTCTCACTCGCATCTGCGTATTTCTCACCATTTCGTTTTTTATCCCAACGCGATCCTCAGTCAGACCAGCTAAACCAAGCATAAAGTTATTATTAGAGTATTCATTTCGTTAATCATTTTTATATGTCCGTTATTTCAAGTAGTTTGTTGTACATACTGCTTCCCAGAAGATTTCAAGGAGACCACACTGCACATGCAACGACGAGGTACATACATGAAACAATAATGTCCCTCTTACATACATATGTCTGGATTCATCCAGAGCTGAAGTTTTTCTGGGAAGATTGCAACTTGCAGTTTACATAGTACTTTGAGACGACTTTACTCAAGATTTGGAAATTTAACTCAAATTTATATCTTGCATACATAACCAAAAAGTGTCCCAATACAAGAATATGAAATTTACGTCCCTCACATAAAATCTGGATATGGAGGTTTTTGAATTGAACTAAACCTTATGCTCATACGTACAATTTATGGTTTTAGTAATATCTCCGGACCAAAACTAAATACAAATGCACATCAGATCGTAGTGTGCTCAAGATTATAAACATGAGTGAGTTTGGTGAAGCAGTGATGCACAATTGTCCATTTCTGGTTAACTGGTTAACTTAACACTATTTTGAAGTCGTCGCATCAGAATCGCCTCATCTCATGTAAGGCAAGATAAACACCCCTGAGGACAAAATGATTAAAGGGTTAATGAAAGTCAGTGTTATTTGCTCATCAGAAAAGTAAGTATTCTTAACCAAAGCCAAGTTTGGTTATAAAAGTTCGTCCGTCGTCCATTTGATATGTTTCGTCCAATCTGCAGGTGTGGATGGATGCAGACTCACACGATTTGCAAATTCTTTAATTAAACAAACGTACATGGTTTATTCCTCAGAACCCATGTAAAATATTATTTGAAGGCTGACGGGGCAAAAATGTCTAAAGTGTGCATTAAAAATTTAAAACTTGGCATATACCGTCACAAATTAGTATATTGAATGAGCCTCAGAATAAGGATAGGTTAGATGTAACATGAAATGTACATAGTAACATTTCCCAGAAAATTGTTACACCTTCTCGACGTAGCATGTGACATAACGCGATTGCTGATCTTTGAGGATTCGGCACTGCAAACAAAAAACCTGTTAGATTACATCGTAAACTAAAATCGCTCCACCTGAACGTTATGTATAGCGATTTACAAAAAAATTTGGACTGCCTCGCCAGTTTGGAGCAGTTTCTTCTCTTTTAGGGGTCATCACTTTGATGTATCATCACAAATCACAATCACAGTGTAATGATCTGTGCAATACGAATATATGGTCAATGGTCATGCATATGTACTTCGTCCGTGGATTATAATAATAATAATAATATGCAGCACATGCACATGTTGATCTCTGTTCACTCTTTTTTGTCATGTCACTATCCATGCAATACTTTTCGCTAATACTTTTCGCTTTTCGTAATATACTTAAAGATAGGCAAGTGACGAATATCATTTTTCACACGAAAATATATATGAAATTTAGTGATACAGTAATGTCAACAAAAATTTGTATAAAATGGAAACAAATGATGTTAATTTAAATTCGTATTTTTTCCTCGTTGTACTTTGTTGAAATAGTTTGTAAGAGAAAAAACAGGAAGTTATCAGGAAGGTTGTAGTTTCATGATAATGTAAAAAATTGCAGGATACCTTTCTGAAAAAAATCATGCCTAATTTCTCTACATGTCATTCTTGCCATCTGCTTAAACAATTTTGTCCGCACGTTCTATATATTATTGCAACTGTTGAGTCAAAAATTCGAAAACAGTCAGACATCCTGTCCAACGTTGGAATGGAATCCCACCAAACAGCTCAAAGAAGTCAGTTGGGATTTCAAACTCGGAGATTTCATGAAATACATTTCGTATTTAAATTTACAAGCACTCGAGATGAAGAACAAGTCAAACGGGTTTGTTTTTTGTGTTCAATTGAATTGCATTAACATCGCCTTCTCGGAGGTGAACATGAACTTGAATCGATTCCAGGGTATTTCAGCAAGACAAGACATGCCATGGATATTGTGAAGAAAATAACTTGATCTGTGTACATTACGTTAAAAAATTCGGGTTCAATGATAAAGATATTATTTCAATATATTACATGCTGCCACATCCTTGTCGATACAGTCTCGATAGTATAATAAATATGAAACCCCCAAAAAACAAAGGTGAAGTCTTGTGATTCACCAACTAAAATAAACACAATTAGCAAATGTTTTTCTGAAAATGATTTCTTTGTGATTGAATCACAGTGAAGGAGGGTGAAATGTGATATAGCACGGAATGATAAAATCTTATCGTCTGGCGTATCAAAATTAAATGAGTCCCAACCAGACGAATTAGTGGTGAGAGGTGCAGGTTTATTAAACAGTTAGGTTTTTTGGAAAATGTTTTCATGCAATTTACTGTTAATTAATATATACATTGCAGCATATTACAACTCATACATCCTTTTCTCCATCAAAAGGCTATATTTGAGATAAGGTAATGTAAAATGTAACACAATCTCTGGCTAAATGAACCACAAAAGTATTTAATTATGGGAAAGTAGCAGTATAAATAAAATGCATTATGTATTCTCGAATGACATTTCATTCACTAATTCACTAATATCCAGTCTGGTACATTTTAAATTATTTCCCTACACATGATAAATAACATTGGGAAATGAGATTATGGTTTAGTTAATTAACGAATGCATATACATATCACTTAGAGATGGATACTTACTTTAAAAGTGATGTTCATGAAATTATGCTACAACTTTATGCAGCTCCATGTAATGCCTATTCATTCATGCAACCGGAAACTTATTGCTAATTTTTCAAAAGTGACACCAATTTTTTGTACCTTCTATCTCAAAAACGTTCAATTTTGATTTTCATGAGGTATGGTTTCGGGCTTGGGTTTTTCATAGAGAGAAAAATCCCTCTCTGGCTCCTCTTCCCCATAACCGATTTCTCACCCGCGCCCGCCTCTCGTTGCCATTGTCTTGGATTTTAGTTGGCTTGCTCCTCTGTTCAGAACAACCTTTTTTACTGACTGGTCAAAGAATAATTATTTCAATTTTCTTTATCTTGTTTATCATTAGGTGTTTTGTCGATCTCTTTTTCCTTACTAAACACAGTATTTTAATTTAATCAATTAGAAATTATCATAAGAGAGACGTATTTGACTTATTAAATTGACTTTGCTTTTAACCGTGGTAGGTATTCATGTCATTTCATTCAGATTGAGATAAGTACTAATTTGCATTACTTGATGATGAGCAGGTGACTTGACTTAGGCGAACGGAGTGGTTGCACTATTGAAGGAGAAGAAAAAGAACAGAAGCTAAATATTCATAGCAAGACTATAATTATGAATTCAGGAAATTTGAAAGAGTTTTCCTCTTCGCTTGAGGATATCAATTCCGAATCGGATTGGGATACGGACGACGAGATGGACAAGATAGTGGAGGCAGTGTTATCCAGTTCTTCTACAAATTCGGTAAATCCTTTTAATCCGAAAACAGATTCTGTCCAGGAGCCGGAAGCGAAAAATTTGGCGAACAGTAAAAACCGAGATGGAGTAACGGACGACCTCAATGAGACGACTGAGCTCAGAAATATGACGATTGGACTCAGAAATGGGACGCCCAAGCAAAGTACCAAGGGTGAGGTATCAACTGTAGCAATTCAGGTAACCAGCGGTACGAGGGACGAGAACGTTGATAAAGGTCGAACGGTTATGCAAAGCGCGTGTAGAAAAATCGAAAGCGTGGACCTGGTCGATGGGTCTGTTGGATCTTGCTCGAAGAACGTGCGATCAAAAGTGGCGTTTGCTAATTACTCGAGCATATACCAGGAAGGAGCCTTTCTATATCCACCTTTATCTTCACCCAAGATGTATCGTGGGTTGGAAATGGAAACAATGATCACAACAATTAAAAACAGAAATTGGAAACTTTCGTCACGTCGATATACGAGACTGCTCAGTTTTGTTGATGCTTGTTTATTCGGGAAGGTGGAAATAGTGGTTTATATGATTTATAAAGGTGAGTCTAACTAATTTTGTATTCGTCCAAGTAATTCGGACGACAAGAACATGCAATATTTTAAATATTATGGCTTCTCTCATTTTCAGAATACATAAACGTAAATGACGAACTTATATGTTGTTTAAATGGACTGCAACATGCGTGCTATGCTGGACAGTACGAAGTTGTCAAAATTCTGCTTGAATTGGGAGCTAAGCCCAATTACAAGCGCAAACTCGGTATGGGGAATACATCAGAAAATTATAATTTTCTAAGAGGAGACATGAATTATTGTTCATTTGCATTTATGTTTAACAGATCGATTTACAGCTGTTATGGCCGGATGTTGTTATTCCGGAAATGAGACAGAAAATCTGGTTAGATGCGTTAAAGCTATTGTCGCTGGTAAGTGCATGTTTTTGGTTTTAATAATTCAAACCAATTTATATTATGTATAACTCAAATTGAAATATACATAATAGAAATGAATTATTCCTCTATTCCCAATTAAAATCTGTCATTAAAATCTTATTTTTAGCTGGTGGGAAAATAGATGTTGTCCAGGCTAGTGGTATGACCGCTTTGCTATATGCCGTTCAACGGTCGCACATCAAAATAGTTGAATATCTGTTGGATAAAGGAGCGGATATTGAACATAAGAATAGCGAAGGACACGGTGTAAGTATTTAAAATCATAACTAAAATGATGCTTTCATACATTTTTAAGTCAAACTCTTATTAGCCGACGATATTCAAAATCTTTCCAGGCTATTTTTTTTGCAAAAGAGAATAAGGACAGTCAGATGCTTGCCTTACTTGGTAGACATCAGTGGACTCAACCTACTGACTGAATTTACTATTGGATTTTGGATTGACGAAAATTGACAGAAAACAAAGCAATCGATAACCTAAGCTAACATATTTTCTTTAAAAGCATGTCTCTGTTTTTGTACCTTCATGGCTAGATCTCGTAATTTGTAGTTCCTCGTAGCGCCAAGACCTTTTTTCCTTACTGCTTGTTAGTCGTTATAGTTTGAAATTGTAATTAATTAATTTACGATCGATTTATTGGTTAGTTATTAAATTTACTCCAATCTGCACATTATTACCGTTTGGAATATTATGTTGTATTTGCCAATAATGCCGACGATAAATTAAATACAGAGAAATTGCTTATCCTTTTGTACCAACTAATGATTATCTTTTTTTCTTAATGACTAATAAAGTCAAGTGACGATTAAATCTCAATTTGCATAATCCCCAGTCCTGTTAAAAAAATCGCGTAGCGGGAGAGTTTTCAGAACTGCAACTGGATGTCAAAATTTAATATTTTTAACATCCTTTTATTTTTACTTTTACTTTAATCTAGCACTGCTTAAATTGATTACAAATTTCTTTATCGTCCCCAAAATTCCCCAAAGTTAGTCTTGAACCATGATTGTTACAATGACTCTGATCCTAATTTTGATCAAGTGTCAAAAACACGTGAGATCTTTCTGTGCGAAGAAAAAGTTGTTCGTTCTCCTGTTAATTGTTTCAACGCTAATTATTATCTACTTTTTCGTCGATACACGCATTTTGGCCAAGACCCTGCGGACCTACTTCCCTAGACAGAATAATAATGTCACTGGTTGGATCAATTCGACCAGCATTTTCCCGATCTGTAAGTTCCTTTAGTACAATTTTTGATGTCTAAGTACAAACTGATTAGTAATTTTAGCTTGTCTTGTTCTTTATAGTGGAGAATGTTATCAATGTCAGAGCTGGAAGCAATGTGACCATTCATTTGGGGAATGCCACCTGGAAACCATTATTTACGGGAAACAATGGGACGTCATTTTTACCGACTGGATTTAGTAATATTTCATCAGCCCCATAGTTGATACTATTGTTCACTTTATAGTATATATATTTCCGTGTTTTTAATGTTTAAATTGGAATTACTAAAATTAATCTTGAGCTTACTAATACTCAAATTAACTGTTTAATCGCGAAAATAACAAAATAACAATAGTTACTTGTGATTTGAAATCATAAATTTATAACTTTCTTTTACATTTCACATTTTACATTTCTTTTACATTATTAATTGATTATTATTACTAATCCTAGGACATTTCTTCAACTCTAATCATTCTCATTTTGTAATGTGAGTGAACTATTGTGAACGGGAAACGGGACGAGACAAAAGGTTTTCTTGTTGCCGGCTTGTTCAGTTCACTCCACATGCTCCACGTTACAAAAACACAAACATCGAGGTGTGTATGTTGCATATTATACTAACTTTAAATGGGAAGCAAGTTAAGTTGAATAATGGTTAATGTTCGGCCAGGAATGAGTGACTGACATAAGTAAAGCAAAGCATAATTAATATTCCACCACGTACAGACCCGATACTCAGCGACCAATAATCCCACCCGTGTAAGATAATCTTAATATGCACGTCAATACTTTACAAGTTACAAGTCAGCCAGGGTAAATGTGTTTAAAACCAAAAGCAGTTATTGGCACGTGAGAGGTTTTCTGCTTAAACTATTTCTCAAATTATATGTATTGAATTTGGTAGTGGTGAGTGTATTGCGCTTACTGACGGTTTGTCCTTAATTGTACTAATTCAGAGAATACAATTGAAATTTTTGCCGGTTTACCAGGTGAAAGTTAACTTGCAGCAATTAACCACCAGCTGGTTTTTACAATATACCAAGTTTATTTAGTAAGGGTGCGGCATATCCTAGTTTCGAAATTTATTTTAAATTATTTCTTGTTCCTAATAGGTGTACCAGAACAAGTTAGAACAAAATCAAAATGATTGGCAGTCGTAATGTTTGTCGTGGGGTCACCCGGCTACTAAGAAATCGCGGAGCTAATTTGGTAAGCTAATCAAATTGCATTCTTTTTTTAATGTACTCAGTCAGTATCTGTCGTTTCTTTATTTTTAAGGATTCCACGCCAAAGAGGAATCTCAATTTATTAGAGTAAGGATACTTTGCTTGAAAAGGGAGCACTTTTTAAGCACAAAACTTATTTAATTTAATTTTCCATAATTTGTCTAGATACCAAAGCAAAGAAATTTTAGCTGGTGCTGGTGTAGCCGTTCAGAAATTTGTTGTGGTGAGCGATAAGGCTCAAGTCGCCAAGAAGGTGGATGGATTCAGTACGAATTATTCAATTTTAGCTTGATTTACTTGTTAACTGATATTATTATTAGTTTTCATTTAAATTTTACAGAGGTTGAAGAATATGTTGTTAAAGCACAAGTCCATGCTGGTGGAAGAGGAAAAGGTCATTTCGATACTGGGTTAGTTTTTGTTACTTGTAGTAGTCATTTTTTATGATTTGATGATTCCATGTAAATTAAATTGGTATTTTTTCTCTACAGGTTCAAAAGTGGCGTTCACATTCTTAAAGAGTGAGATATTAAATTTACATGTACATCACGGGTAATTCCTAACAAAATTTCGTTCATTTTTAGTAAGAGCAAGATTGCTGACATCGCTAAGGCCATGTTGGGGAATAAATTGATCACGAAACAGACTCCTCCAGGTGGTGTTCCAGTTAATCACGTCATGATAGCGGAATCAGTCGACATTTTTGAGGAGAAATATCTTTGTTTCATTCTGGACAGGTTGATTTGGACAATATCAAAATATCTGATAGAAAATTTGGTAATCTTAATATACGTGAATGCATAAAACAGGAGTCAAAATGGTCCAGTTTGTATTGCTTCTCCTGCTGGAGGAATGGACATTGAAGAAGTTGCTAAAAACACTCCAGAAAAAGTAAAAACAGTCCCAATTGATGTTATGAAAGGTATCTCCTCCTCTACTGCAAAAGAAATTGCACAATTTTTGGAATTTGATGCCTCTACTGTTGATCAGGTCACGTTATATTTTCATATGAATGTGGATTCCAATTCTCAATGGTTTTTTGTGTACTTAGGCCGCATCGGAAATCGTAAAGTTGTACAATGTATTCACTAAATACGACGTAACTCAGCTAGAAATTAACCCTCTTGCTAAAACTAATAGAGGAGTGATTGCCGTGGATGCGAAAGTCCTTATTGATGATAATGCTAGTTTTAGACAGGTATGGTGCAAGACAATTAAATGTAGTAGTTAGTAGTTATGTACTTATCTTCCACTAACATTGTATTATTCATTAATTAATGAATTAAAATAATAGAAACAGACATTTGATGAAGCATCAACTGCAGAAGATGATCCAAGAGAAGTAGAAGCGGCCAAGTTTAATCTTAATTATATTCAAATGGAAGGAAATATTGGATGCTTAGGTATGACTGAACAATTTTATACGGACAAATATTATTTCAAGTTCTGATGTAAATGTGAGTTTATTTCATTGAACTCAGTTAATGGTGCTGGACTGGCAATGGCAACTATGGACATTATCAAGCTTTATGGGGGTCAACCAGCTAACTTTTTAGACGTTGGGGGTGGTGTTTCCGAAACTGCTGTCACTGAAGCTTTCCGAATCATATCATCTGGTATGCAGTGAAAAATTATTTGCTTTATTCGCTTTAACGTAAACGGCTGTTTTCATCAATTATAATTTAATTTAACGTAGATCCCAGCGTCAAGGCTATTTTAGTCAATGTCTTTGGTGGAATTGTAAACTGTGCTATCGTGGCTAAAGGGGTTGTTGCAGCCGTTAAAAATGTGGGATTAACAGTGCCTCTTATAGTTCGTTTGGAAGGTATTTACATATGTATTTGCAATTTGAATTCACAATCAAGTCAATCTCGATTCTGGCAACAATTTATAACATCAAACAATATCATCATTCAGGGACTAACGTGGACAATGCGAAACAGATTTTGAAAGATTCTGGTCTCAAAATAACGTCAGCAGAAAATCTGGATGATGCAGCAAAGAAAGCAGTTGCATGTCTATCATGATGTTGATTCGTCGCGTAGCCATCTCCCAAGGGGACCCTTGCCTAGAGTAAATTCAGATTAGAACTTAGTTTATTTTTCAGATGAGTTCCACTCTTCCTTTAATGAATTTGTTGAAAAGATAAATTTTAATTTACTCAATTCCAGCAACTCAAAATTCCAAGTGTACATGACATGACAGAGGAATAAATTATGTATATTATCATACAATGATTTCTCATCCGACTTGTTTATTTTGCAAGTCTGCGATCAATTGTTGTCTCACTTGTTTAATCTGGTTTATATATGCTTTACATTTTTATAGTATTTTCTATCTGCAGAATGTGCAATTTAACCTTGAAAAGTCAAGTTGGCACGTTCTGACGAACGTGTGCTCAAATAATATTAATAATATTTTCCCAATACTACAACTTATTTATTCATTAAGATGCGATATAAAACTTCAGGAAGAGAGATTCAAGTCAATTAGTGCTAAGTAAGTGCTCACTCAAAACCGCTGCAATAATGGGTTCTTCCCTGCTCAAGATATTGTTAATTTTGTCAGTATTGCAAATATCTCATGCATTCTTTCTGGGAAATTTATTTTCCAGACCAATTCCTGGAGGTATTTGTTACTTTAAGATTTATTATCAATTATAGTAAAAGTATACAGCTAAACTGCATATAAAACTACTTAAACTATTGGTACAAATAGATGTTCTGAGTCCTCAAGTATGCGAAACATTCTGCAGAAACAAGTGTCTAAATGGTGGATACAGTGGTTCAGCCAATTTTCCAGGATGCAACCAGTTTTGCGATTGTAATTACTACTTTCCCCGACGACCACCACCATATTATTATTATTGATTAGGTTATGTCTAAAAACAGTAAAATAATAAAATAAACAATTAAGTAACCAGTCTAAAATATCCTTCACATAATTTTTACGCAGGCCAATTTTTTTAACTACGTCGTGAACACTTAATATACCCCACATTACAATTATAGTCGTCTGAATTATATATTTTGGCATCGACGACATCTTGGATTGGTCCAGTGTCAAATCTGGGAGAATTCCTCAGAAACCACAGTCTTGGCTTTTCATAGCTGTTGTCCTCAATTGACTCATATTCTCCTTCAAAGATTGGTCTTCCTTGCTTCAATTCATCTATTTCATAATTCTCTAAGCTCAGAAGAACCGGGTAGCCCAGAAATTTGCATATTTTTTCTCCCATCTCCATTGACCACAAATCAGTGCAGTATGGATGCCAAGATCCTTTCACCCGTACCAGTACGTACCCCTCCAGTCTTTTTTTACTCCTGTCCATAGAGAGATGCTCTAGAGAAGTGGAAACTGCTGTGCAGAACGCCTCGTCCAAGCCGTTGGAACAGTCTTTGATCGTGTCACACACCAAATTTTTATGGATGCATTCCGTTGGGAACGAAGATCTATTAGAAGAAACAACACAAACAATAACCATCTGTAGTTTCGCGGAAATTAAAACGCCTAGTCTCGAACCTTGAGTTACACACGAATGAGTCAGGCTGACACGGACACCCAAGCTGATCACTTCGATCGGGACATGTCGATTCTCCTAAATAAATTTAAAATCAGCATAAAATCACAATTAAATAACAAAATAAGTTGACGACGTCGTAAGACAATTTGCAAATGAATGCAACTAAACTTACCATTTGGATTGCATAGCGTTCCTGGAGCAGCCAGTTCCAAATAGTGCTTACAAGTGCATAAGTGCTCTTCAGGTTCGTCCGAAAAATCGTCATACCCACAATCATACGCTCCATCGCAGAAGGCCGAAATCTGATTGTAATTCATTTAATATTAGCGACACATCAATTTAATTTAATTTGAGATTTGTTTAAAACTTACAGGGACACAATTCCCTGTCATTTTGCACTTAAAATGACCCAATGGACAAGTTGCATTTGCATAACTTGCATAATCGTCTTCATTTTCGACATCATGCGATCGTAACAGCGTTTGATAATGGCGTTGACACCTGCGCTCATCCAAACCATCCGGACAGTGGGCTTTGATACAATAGAGCAGTTTTTCAGGTAAAAATAGCAAAACACAAAAATTTGTTTGACATGACAAACTCACCAATTCCGTCGCACACAAATTTATTCCCCACACAGTTTCCGACTGGACAACGAGTTCCTGTGCAGCCTGGAGATTTTATCACCGACGAAACAGGTCGACTAAGAAGCTGCATTGTTTCCGATGCTTCAGTTCCGTAAAATGGATTCTCCAGTTTCAACTTTCCGTCTTTGGTGCATTTGGCAACATTTTCAGCAGTGGCATATCCAAGCAAAAACCACGAGGACTGGTTTACCGTGCAATAAACAAAATACTCCGTGGAACGCTGCAATAAAAATTCTAAAGTAAGTTCCATATAAATTGGAATATTTAATTGCTGTCGCCATTATTTAGAGCAAAAACCTTGCACTTGTCGCCAGTAAATCTAAGACAGTGGTGATCAGACGCTTCACAAGCAGGATCGTACGTTACACTGCGATCATGCAATGTCCCGTTTATTAATTTCACGCGTACACAAGATGGGGTTTTTCCATCTTCTTTTAAACTGGCACTGGAAATGTACTTATTATTAGTTAATTGTTTAAAATATTTGAGAATTTAAGCAGTTTAATTCGTAAAATTTATACGTGGAGCATATTTGTGTCGTAAAATGGTCAGTGGTGAATGCATTTTCCAATCGAAGGAGAGAAAGGCCAGTCGACAGCCTGATCACGGAATTGATACGTTTCACCTGTTCCATCGTGCTGGTAACAACGCTGCTGGTCTTCAAGAAACCTGTCGTAGCTGAAAGATATTCCGTCGACGTTGATCTAGAACGTAAATAAAAAATTAATCCAATGCATAACGAACCATATACATATTTCACACGCATAATCGCAGATTATTCTACAGTGGCGTATTAGTACCGAACATTATCGTCAATGCATTTTGACGAAGCCAAAAGCCATTGTTTGTTCACAAGTGTTCCAGGACAGATGGGGTTGCCCTCCAACATGACCATGGCCACCCAAGGATAAGCCCCGGTCTGATCAGCCTTCGGAAAATTAGTGTTCGCCTTCAAGTACAACTTCCTCATTCCGCACGTCCTTTCCTCTCCACAAATTGCTTTCCCCTGTTGACATTTCGCATCAGAAGTCCCTCGTTTCTTTCTCGCTACGGCATTCGACTCATCAGCCATAGATCGGGCATTTCGAGTTAAAACTGGATCAGACGGACTATCAAAAATAACAATAAGTACTGCAACAAGCATTCCACAAATATTTATAAAAATAATTGGTAATTAATTTACATAAGTCCTAAAGTGGGACAGACACTTTCTCCAATTGAATTACCCAGGTCCTCCTTACACGCAATTCCCCACTTTGTTCCCGACTGGCGAGTAACAACATATCCAAATTGTAACCCCCTAGAAACCTTGTCTTCCAGAAATCCTTCATGGTCAGGCAGTTTCCCTCGTGATTTCATTAGTCGAACTTTGCATGAAAATGTATACATACATTTTAGTATGCAATAAATCTGTGATGCCAATATGTAAGAGGTCAGTAGGGCTGAAATGGCTTACCGCAGTCAATCTCATCTAAAATAATATAATTTTTGCAATAATAAAAAAAACTCTATATTGAATAATTTCATGGGCATAGGAGAACTACCTTCTCCAAATGGACAATCAACGGATGCATCGCACCATTTCGAGACACTGATACATAAATCAGATAAAGGACACTTGATTTTTCCACTGGTCCCATTGCAAGCTCTGCTCGAACAGTCCACTTCATCCGAACTAATTTTTGGTTAAAAGTGAAGCGCCCAAACCTTGTATTTCAAATAAGATCTAATTATAAATTAAATGAACTAACCCATCTGCACAATGATGCAATCCATCACAAACTAGGTGAGGATGAGAATTTTGCAAAATGCTTCCGCAGTCACAATGTTTCTCATCTGAAATATAACATACAACTTTGAATTCTAATATCCTAATTAATAAGTTATTAAATAGAACTAATCGCCATTTCTCACCAGTGTTATCCATGCAGTCAAAGTTCCCATCGCACTTCAATTCCAGCGGAATACAGCTTTGTGTCCTATTCATTTTCACTTATTAATTTCCAATTTGTTGGGCATTTGTAATTAATAAATTATTACGTTTTGCACTGAAATTCTGTGGGGCCACATAATTTGGCGGATCCATATTCGTGCGTGTGTTCTTCGGTAGCATGAGCAGTCCGTTTGATATCGTCGTAAGCTTCTTCATCAGCGTCGTCAGTGGAGGATGCTCGACTTCGGAACTGACAATTCATTTCGTCTTCAGCAGCAAGGCAGTTGACGTGTCCATCGCACATATATTTTGGAAATAGACATTCTCCCCCATCCCGGTCACATTTTGCATTGCATTCCTTAGGCAGCTTTGTTAGCTTCGAATTTCCTGTGAGACAGACCATGCATTGTTAAATTGTAGGCATACACAGATTCAGATTACGGTCTATTTACCAGCAATAACATTTTCTATCCAAGTCGTGTAAGCACTGACTCTGAAAATGGGTAATTAATACAGAAGTTGAAAAACATGGCATATATGACTTGCACATGATTTAATCAAATTGTTTGTGGACTACCGTGTGTAAACGCCGGCTTGATCAGGTCGGGCACCTGAAATTTATAACTATTTTATGAGTTACATGCTTAAAACCTTGTTTTTAATTTTCAGTTATATGACACCAATAATACAATAGCTTACATCCTCGTCCAAAACTGACAAGTCCGCTGACGATTAGACGCCCTTCGTCATTGCTGAAATTATAAAATAATTCACACCTTATTCACCGTTTGACCATATACAAAACATAGGGTGTGCCAAGTTACGTGCAAATCAGTGGTCCTAAAATAAAGAAAACTTAACTTAATTTACTAGACTAGAATGAAATCCATTAATTACAGCTTAAATAGATTTACTCACCACCAGAGTCGCCTTGACAAGCATCTTTTCCTCCTTCTAACACGCCTGCACAAATCTGCAGTCGTACACGAACGGCATTGATTAATCGACATGAACAGATAACATTTGTTAGAAATTTTTACCTGTAGATTATCTTTGGTAAATGTTTCCTACAAGAAATTGTGTGAAACAATATTTAAACAATAATTTGCTTCTCAATGGCACAAGTTTAGCTATTATTACCAAGCATTTTGGCAACACTGGAAGCTTGACCTCTTGCAAATGGTCAGCTGAGAACAATTAGAAAATTATCACAATAATTAGTTACGGAATTTAATGAACAAGTCCACAAAACTTACGACCAGTTCCATCCTCTGACAAGTCTCCCCAACCGATCACTGTACACTCGTGACCTGCCAATGGATCTTGACTCACATCAGTCGACAGGCAGGCCGTGGTCACCCACTTGGAAAAAAAGAATGGGACATCAACCTTCATAAGTCTGCGATTTCAAAAATTTTGCATTAATAAATTTGCAAATTAATAAGTTACTAAAATGCAGGAGTTATCTTATGAATGAGTACGCACGCAATGTCATTCATGAAAATCTTCGAGTCGTAACGTTCGTGAACATGAATTTCGGAAATGAAACGAGTCTGTTCCTTGGGTGAAAATGAGTGTCTCCGAAGCATTCCAACTTGTGCTTCAAATACGTACTTTTCAAATCCATGAGTACAATGGGCCGCCGTAAGGAGCTGATCAACAAATTATGATTCAATTAAATTGATCTCTTGAATTCTTGATGATGCATAGCAAATCGGCATTAAATTGTTACCCATTCTTTGTTAAGTATACTGCCTCCACAATGAAAAGTCCCGTTTCGATAAATTCCCACAATGAATGGCCAGTCTCCAAACTGCAAAAGAATTATAATATTTAGCAATTAGCAACAAATACTTTTACCTGAATGTGATACCTGGCTGTCATGTCCTCCAACAATTTTGGCCGTTAGTCCATGCACGTTGTATTCTATTGTAAACGATACCACTAAATGACAGACACTGACAAGTATATTAAAATCATGAATGACCATCTCATCCTGTTCTTTTTATTTACCTCTTCGATGCACGGAATGGTCAGAACCGAAGGTAAAACTGGTGTGCAGAATGTCGTTTATCGTCGGAACGAAGTGCTTGTCAAATTTCGTCACTGGCCAACCACACGCAGGTTCTGGGCAACTGATATGGTACAGTTTTCCTGAATTACACGATGTCGTAGAATTAAATTTCGATTCCTTGTCTTCAAGTTTGAGAATGTATGTAAGTCGCTCCACGCCTTCAAAGTCATGTGCATTTATTGTCTTTATTTTTGGGTCTCTGAAATTTCAGACCCAGTTTAATAAAAATCTCTAGCGTGTTAAGTCAGCAATAATCGTATTGTACTAAAATGCGTCACTTACTCATTCACGTTCCCTACGATAATGTCACATGTCTTTTTCGCATATTTTTTAACCAATTGGTGTTCAACGGAACCAGAAGACTTGCAAACTGTATGCCAATCATTTCCTATCCGCTTTTGAAGAATTCCAGAGCTAACAACGCCTCGTGTCTTAATCACATGGAGAACAAAATTAATATAAGATTTTGCATATAAAATTCCAAACTTGAACGAAGTATAGCATCAATACCTTGGGGTCTAAGGTAGAAACTCGGAAACATTCTTTCTCATCACTGTGAGTTGGAAAACAATCAATAATTCCTGGAAAAAATATGCCACCGTTTAAAACAGTGACGAAGTATTGACACATTTCAATTAATAATTTACCGTCACATCTTTGTGAAATTTTTATGCAATGGGAAGCAAGAGTTCTGCCGGTGGAGCAACTCATTTCATCCTCTTTGCAACCTTAATTACGATGAGTTAATTACGATAATTAGATAATTACGATATTACGATGAGTTAAATCAAGCTATTTGTGTAAATGAGTTGCAAAATTTACCTAAGCCACACCCTAGTTCATCTAAACGAGTAAAGAGGTTAGGCAAAATTATATATATTTCAATTTAACATAATCAAAAACAAAATTTACCTTCTCCGTTGGGACAATCTTCAAGGCCTAGAAAGATCATATTACATTCCAACTTTATGAATTTGTGCTTTTGCAAATCTGTTAAACAATTTCTTATGGACAGCATACCATCGCAGATTTTCTTGGATCCAACTCTATCCAAGCACGTACAATCAGTCTCATCTGAGGCGTCCCCACAATGAACGGTGCCTTTGAACAAGAGCAAAAGTTTATATGCAGACAATAAATACAAATTACCCTTTATTTTACCATCGCATTTGTGATGGCTTTTCACACAGGCCCCATCCGTACAGCGAAATCCACAATCTGTTTAAAATTAAAGTAAGGCACTAAATTATAATCAAAATCGAGTTACCGTTATCGACCTTACCAGATTGATGACGATGAGCAGAAAAATGACGCGCAGTTCTGTTCAATTGATAATCCTCTTGAGCATCCAAATTTATAGACTTTGATGCTTCTAGCAAACTGCTAGCCAAACTTTTCGGGTGCCCACTTTCACAAAAGATAAAACTGAATTTTAATAAGAAAATTAACTTTATTAGCAGACCTGAATTTCTTGCCATGTTAATACATCGACAGGAAGTCGGATTTTCTTTACGATGTATATGTTAGCGATAAGACTTCACAGTTACAATGCCACGTTATAAGATAAATTGCAGAAGAGCATATTTCATTATGAGAACCCAATGTTTATGAAATAATACAGAAGGACTAAACATTAGTATTTTGTGCATGAATTTGGAATGAGAGTCACCAGTTAGCTGACTAAATGGAATTTGCTAACTTTACAATCTCAAGTCACATTTTTTAGCTCGATAAGGGTTGTGATGGGTCATCGCATAAAAGCTCTGCAAAATGTGTCAACTTAATTTTTGTCTCACTTGCAAAATGAGAATCAAACTTGTGTCGGAATTTATGGAGGTCGTTGCTGTAAAATGACTCAATAATGCACGAGAAAAGTTATTCTTACTCACAATTATTTTATTTCTTCATACAATAAAATAGCAAACAATTTTTTACAGGAAGGAAGAGCATTAATTGTACACACTACAGCATACTTTTAATAGGAATGACATGGCACGAAACACATCTGGTTGTCTGTGATATTTAGTTTTGTAATATAAATTATCGATTCTGATTGTGCAGATGACTCGCTTCGATTACAAGGAAAATACTAATCACAACTAATAGTCTAAATATTCTCTTCAACGGTTAGCTTAGTATGGTACAAGTTAAAGGCCTTTTCTGGTGTTTATTTTGCATCCTGCTTGCACAGACGGATTATCTAACTCACACTAAGAATTTCACTATTACATAAATAGCAACAGTAATTAAATGGAAATTGTAACTAGAACCTTTTTGGAATACACTATAGTTTTTGACATTAGAACTTATAAATAAAATTACGATTGGCTTGAATTTATATCACGTACAGAACTTAACTTGGGCAATTGGTACAAATTGTAGCGTTAGTCGTAGTAGGGTTACAATTTAGTGGCACTTGTTTTTTGATGATATTTTGACGTATGTATGTAGACTTAATAAATTACTGATTAGCAAGATGTCATCTGAATATAAATAAAAAATAAATATCAATAATACGAAAACTTTTTATGCGTAAATTCAAGTAACTGGAACTACACTTACAACAATTAAATGTCCATTTTTCTTAGCGATTGCCGTAATATCAGTATCGCTTTTCTTGATTTCAATAATCCCTTGTTTTCCTCCATTCAAGTGGTGTTGAACCCTTTTATAAAACCGTCAGATTAGTAAACAATTATTATTACATAATAATTTCTACTAAATAACTTACTCTCCAGGAGGTACAATAGTTAACAGTGACTTGTTCTGGGCAGCGGTATCGATTATCTTGGTCACTGCTTCAATCACGTGGGGGCAATTAACAATCAAGTCCCCCTAATCATTAAAATAGCATTTGAATTACAATTTCACAATGAAGTTAATTTTTTACAAATGAGTTGATCTAGTCAATTAGTCACCTTCAGTTGTTTATTTTCTGGGGGAGTTCGGAAAACAAGAAGACCATCTCCCATATTGGTTATGGTAATTCCTTTCAGCTCGTTCAGAAATATTTTATGTTTAAGCTTCATGTCCTTTGCATCATGTAAATAAACGGCTGCATTTGACACAGTTAATATACGTTCCCGTGGTTTATACCCATGTCGATCGTACTTGGTGACTGCTGTGCAGTACTAAAAGTGACAACGTAATAGTTTCAAACTCATGGGAAGTGACGTATAAAATGCAGAGCATTGTGTTATGAGTTTCTTACAACAAGACGCTCGCCACTGTTCTTTATATTCGTTTCAATCATCCCGATCCGATTTCGAACATCGTCTGGGCGACAATCGACGAAGTAATTTCGCACAGACGCCTCGTACGTGGCCTTTTTTCCTAAATTAAGGATAAAATGGTTAAATACCCAGAATTATTTGGTAATTTTTAACTGCCTATTTTGTCTAATTGATACCTTTAAATAGTTCATGTGCCAGGTATTTCATTTCTAACTGTCGCTTCCGTTCGGCACTCAATCCTCGAACATACTTGCGCACAATTTGTCTTCGATGCATTTTACAAAGGAGCGTTGATGCCTTTGCGAAATAAATCAATTAAGTATAGCACAACCTTTGTCATGTATGTAACTTTGTAATATAATTCTTACAGCTCGTGCTGCTGGAGGGCTATCTGGCCATAGACGATCGTGTCGCAAAATTACATTGGGAAGAGATTGGCTCAATTTCATCAAGAAACGGTATCTCACAAATTGTAAAAATTTAGCGTTGGCTTCACATGGATCAGCATTTCTGGCCATGAATCCCTTAATGAAACTGGAAAAGTTATAAATAAAGTAGAATACAAAAATTGTAACAAAATTGCACGAAATAAAGAAATGAAATTGATATTGAGTCCTTACTCTCTGACCACATTTGAAGCCCATTTTCGTTTCTTGAATTGACGAACTGCAAGAAATCTCTTAATGTACTTTTGTACAAAGATGACCTGGAATCGCATTCTCAAATACTCCTTGCGTTGTCGTCGTCCCCTCCAGATTGCCTTAATTTTGGACACCAGTTGCTTCTTCCTCTCCTGGAATGCGTCCTCAATTGCAAACAATGTCTGAGCATGTCGAATGAAAATCTTGGTTCTGTAAAGAAAATTGTACTGATACTTAGTTTAAAATTCATGAATTTATCAAATTTATCTACATACGCAATGTAAAAGCCTAAATACATAATGCATTACAGAACGAACTTTGATAGCAAATTATTTTCTCACCTCTGGCCAAATATTGACCTTCAATTCACACAATGTAGCAAGCACACATAAAATAATTATTTTAGATAGATGATGACTAACACATCATAATTACTGAGACACATAAAACACCAAAAACCGCATGTATTGGACCAGATCAAATTTGATTTTAATTGAGCAATTTATCAAGATTCCAACATTAAAAGCATTCCATCCAGGCAAATCCGTATATACTCAAGAACCCCAAAATGTGTAGAACCCAACCAATTACTTATGTTTAAAAAAGTTCTACTTACTTTCCCATGCGGAAATGATCCTGGTTGTAGCCCAAGTGTTTCATTATGATTTCAACCCCACGTTCCGCAGGTCCATCATAGTGTGGCCAGGTTTGTGGGCACAAACTTTTATAGCGAAGAAGGAATGTTTCATATGGTCTTCGATAAGCAAATCCAGCTCTGCGGACGCGAAGATTTTCCATCAGTCCCAAATACTTCACTTGATGACCAACAATTTCCAAATCGAAGACGCCTATGTGCATCAAAATAGTAGATTAAATCAACATGTAAGCTTGTAACATAATACACAAGCAAATTAAGCACCAGTAATTTACAAGACTTACCGGCTTTCTTGAAATCATTGGGTTTAATGCACCTAATGTACGACGGTTCTTTGGACATTAAGATTTCCATGAGTTGGTTCAAGCTAGTCTTAAACTGTGTTGCTGCCGTCGCTGGTCGCTTTTTTTGATTTAATTCGCTAGCAGGGAAAATTGTCTGTAACAAAGAATTAGCGGAGTGTAAAATAACAAAATAAGAATTCTCCCAGTCTTCTTCTGTCTACTTTCAGACAATAAAATACGGTTGAAAGAATTAAAATAATAAAAAAACACCATTAATCCAAATTCGAAAATAAAAAAATCGATGATTTTCATGTTATCAATGGAAATGAAATTGCATAGTACCTCAAGGGCAAATTTTTAATATTCAACATGGTCTGTAGAATTTAGTAAGTAGTGTACACATATTTTTGGGCCTCTTCCAAAAAACATTTAATTTTTACTTGAGCGTGACATGATCTTGTGATTGCATCAAATTACAGGGAAACAAAGCTCATCAACTTTGTACCTTTCCTTTTAAAAAAGCGATGCAAATGCAAGCACTATGTAGGCAGAGATATACGTGGTAGAGAATAACCACACAGCTTTGGGTGAGGAGTGGGTGGTTATCAGTGCTTCAATTATCGTCATCATTCAAAATATGAATAGGTAACGGAGACAAAATACACTCAACATCTCATTTCCCATTTCGCCAGATCAGAAAACTTATCTCCATCAGCAACTGGCCTACTATCCATTAATAAATATTGTTGGAAACATCATCATCAATCAACACGGAATGCAAACAGAATACTACACTAGACAAAGTTTCCCTATCTCAACTTTCAGACGTGCATGTATAACAACTCAGATACAGATACAACAGTTTACCTGATGCTTATTTCTACATGCATATCTCTCATCGCTCCCAACTTCCCAATAATAATATTCCGTTTGCATCACCATCAAATGAGCTTGGTTGAATTTATTCACCAGTTTACCAGTTGTGCAAGCAAATCGATATGTAATCCGTATCACATTGGCAGCACTTATAAAGCCCAACTTACTCTCTATTGTGTGATGATGAGATGGAGTGTGAGACCGCTTCAAAAAAATGTTAATGACCATGACTCGAATTTGGCTTTGATAAAAATGCACTTTGGAGATAACCAGTGAATATACGTGGGTTAATTTGTGGCGTAAAATCATTCAGCGTCAACATCACCTCACCTGCAAAATCTTTTGCTTCGATGTCGTCATTGCTTCACGCAAGTCCCTGAAGAGAAGGTCGTTATTTTTGTCAAGGAATCCATGAACTTTGTACGTAACCTCTCCAGCATAATGTAAAAGTCGGAATTCCTGTTTCGTACCACAATATATGAATCTTACACATTTTTGTTAGTTGATGCATTTTAAGTAGATTAGCGATAATGTTTTTTTTTACATCGCGAGTGAGTGATTTCCTGACGGATGTATTCGCTAGTTTGTGACTTAAGTAATGAGGATGAGTGGATAGGCTTCGGTCCATTTTTTCCAGCATGGTGAAATCCGTGGGATCGCCTGATAAATATAAAAAGTAAGATATTATTGATCTGTTCAAGAGTATCATTATTTTCACCGTGCACAGAAATTGTGAGTCGGTATCATATTACCTGGTCGGAGACATTCTTCATCCATCAGGGCGATGATGCCTTTGTGTTTTTCCTCGACCAAGTCGCAAATAACTTTGTTGTTGAAATAGTCCACGTCTTCCCATTGGATTCCCTCTTTGCGGTACTCCTCCTGTTCGGACTTTAGAGTCAGTTCAATAAAGAGCTGCTGTAGTTTTTCGTTGCAGTAGTTGATACAAAACTGCTCAAAACTAGAATTATAATCAAGTCAGAAAACATTAGTTACGGATTGAAGGTTGCAAACTCATTTGTTAAATCAACGACTAGCACAAACCTGTTCTTTTCGAAGATTTCGAACCCATAAATATCCAAGATACCCATGAGCGTCTTCTTGCCGTCGTAATCAGGTTCAAGGGATTGATTCAGCTTGGTCACGAGCCACGTAAATAACCGATCATAGACAGCCTTCGCCAGTGCATCACGAGCATACATGCATTGTTCGTAGGTAAGAGGAGACGTGACAAATTCACCCCGAGCCTCGATAGTTCGGTGCAAAAAAGCTTTGCTCAGCTTGTCAGGGGAACATCCCAGCAGCTTGAAAGGAACAAATAAATATATTTCATTTATTTTAAAACACATTTATGGCCAGGAAGATGGAGCATCACCAAAGACACATAAAACTAAGGCACGAGCCACAACATAATACGTATAAATGAAAAGTAAGGAAAAGCTCTTGGTGGAGAGATCCATGAAAATTTGGAGAAGGGTGCTTAATGAGCCAAGCCCATCCAGATTTCATGAAGTGAAGGCTTGTTGTATGACTTGCAGCAGTACGTCGTTGTGAATATCTACATTTTGTTCTCCCTACACGCACATTACGATTTTAAGGTCTGTTTTTATGCAACTCTGCTTGGTCACAGATGATTTTCATTACTATCGCCACTCTGAATATATAAGGTTCTGTGTACATCTTTACACTTGATGCTGTCACATGTACGCCAATACCAAAGAATAAATATAAATAACCAACCTGAGCTACGATTTTCACAATGTCGTGACTTAGAACTTTGGCATAATTCCCTTCATGCTTGAAGTCAATCTGGCCAAGGTGCAATATGGCAGCAATTATTTGAAAGATCTCTTCCTGATCGTCCTCACCAAATCCGACCGTGTTCATGGCATCTCTCACCACTTGGTACTGTTTTGCATCGTCCTGTCCGGGGGTGCGCACTTCGCCCTAGTTTATAAAACATTAAATGCTGTTAAGTTTACATAAGCTCGTAGCAGAATTAAGCCGTTCCGAGCTCAATTACCTGATTCAAGTAGTGGTACTTTACTGGACTCCTTTGGAGTTTCAATTTCGTCAAAGTGGACTCATCAACTCCGGCAAGCATTTGATAAAAAATATGAAAATTTCTGTCCCCTTTTGCTTGATAGATCACCCTGGACTTTTCTAAAAGGTAGTTGATGATATGACCTCCCACTGGTGATCCCTACGTGACAAAATTTGAACATTATTACTCAAATCACAGCCCTAAACAAAACGACAATGTTTACTCCGTGGGTCATGTGAACATTAAAATGGAGTGAAGAAATTACTGAATATTTTTATTGCAGGAAGTAAGTTGTAAAACTAATACTGTTAACTTTAAAGTTTACTAAGCAATTGAGTGACCAGTAAAATGAGGGCATTGAAAAAAATAAAAAAAATAGACTCCAGAATAACCACTCCATAAAGTCAAGATAACCGCCCATAAGAAAAATAAAGAATGTCCAACTACGTATAATTTCCCTGCTCATTGTGTCAAAACATAACGATAACATAAAGGAAGGAAGGATAACGAGGACCATACAAATGATGCAAACCTACTCGGAAATCAAACTCAATGTCCATATATTTTCCGAATCGACTGGAATTATCGTTTCGATTAGTCTGAGCATTTCCAAAAGCTTCCAGAACTGGGTTGGATTGCAATAGTTTTTCCTTCGTTGTTTCCACCGACGCGATGTGTTTGGATGCTGCTGCGATGTACCGTAAAATCCATTTCGAAGCCTCCGTTTTTCCACTGCCCGACTCACCTGGATAAGTAAAAAGATTGATTTTGTGATTTCAACAATCTGACAGTCTCAACACTAATTTTGAGATTTTTCTGATATTAAATGCAGTTGATATATTGCAAGTCATGCATATTAACTCCGTCTCATTACTGTGTAGGTACATACACACGGTAATGTAATAATAACGACGTACTCGATATCAAGAACCTCACATAATAAATAAATACATCATCATCATCATCCAATCATCATTACTTTGAATGAATTAAGTGGTCCCCACACACTTTGAATCGTCAAAGAAAGAGAGAAATTGTGTCTCAAGCAAATTCATTCATTCATTCACTCCACTCGGTTCTAAACATTTAGTCCAGACACGAGACAGACAGTGGAAATTATAGCCTTACTGTGCCAAATCTGAGGAAACATCTCAGTTTTAGCACATGCCATCAATTATAGTACGACCTCATGTGTGAACTCTTCTCTACTAAATCTACCTCAAAATATCTTAATTGGATCGGACATAGCAGAGATTTATGATGGACCAAAAATTCACAACATTTAGTTTTACGTCATCAATGTTACTTTTAGCATGGCTCAAAGGGTTGCTACGCTGAAGGTGAGGTTACTACGACTACCAGCATTACTACGGAGGCTATTTGGACACTTGGTTTTGTTTGTACATTTGTAGGAGCATCTTGAGCGAAGTAATATTATGATGATGATGATGAGAAGAAGAGAATTCACGTACGCAAGGAGCAGGTGCATGACGTGCAGAGATACAGTGAATGAGATAAATGAGATATCAAAGATTTGAAATTTATTACCAGAAATCAAAATGCACTGATCTCTGTTTTCCTCGCGAAGCTGCTTGTAAGCATTGTCCGTCAGTCCATATCTGTAAAAAAATAATAACCACACCACATATCAACGACGGGGAATATGATAACATACTCGTAAATACACGGATCATACATAAAATGGTACTGAACACAACGCACTGGCATAAATTCTTGTTAAGTTAATTAATTTAACGTTTTTTTTGATCATGTACTGTACACCCGTGACGCTAATGAGACGCGTTTATTATTAATTTTTCATTGCACAAATTAGCAGAAAATACCGGTTCCACACGGATTGGAATGCAGACAGAAAGAGGTATTAAAAATATACCCACCTATTGTTACATCATCAGCTAAAAAGGAACAAATCACTTCTATGACCGTCACCTTCGCCAATTCATATAAAACTTGACGTTAAACTAAACTTTAGTGTAACTATATTCCCAGTCGCTTAGTAGTATGCACACACATGTATGTACTCGGTTCGTCTGCAATTATTGTCATTTTATATTTTCACAGCTATTACAATTTAAAGTGGTTCATAATTCTACCAAGCTGACAGATGTTACTCTTGTTTTTTGTTCTCAAACACAGGTACATTTAATGAACATTGGTGGAACTGCAAAAATACAAACACTATCGTTCCATGTTGTCGCAGTCACATTTATTGACAGACCAGAGTTGTAAATATAAATTACGCACAGTTAAGAACGTGTTAAGTGTATGCATGTGCACTCAACGTCACATATCATAAAACGGCATGGAAATAGGATTGGATTAGAATATTACTGCCAGCGCGTAGGAGCAATGAATTTTTGTAATTTTCAAGGTACAAAAATAAAGACCAGACTTACACGTGAGGCGCAACTTCGATGAAATTGACGTTATAATACTTCTTCTCATAGTCCAGTCCATATATGGGAAGGTTTCTGTAGGGATTTACAGAAATGAGAACTGGACCGATGTATGTCTGCAATGTAGAAAAAAGAGAATTACATTAATAAATTATACATGAAAATGACGTTAAGCTGTAATTAATTATTTATATAAAGGACTTCAGGTGGATCATCATAGTTAATTGATGCATACAAGGAGTGATATAATTACTGATATAACTACACAAATTAACTTTTAACTACACAAATGCAATGCAATTTATCAAGCAAGATATGGGATTAAATGTTACATGCAAAATCCTTGGTAAATGTTCGCACATTGTCCTAAATAATAATATCGCCATACATAGTGGACAGGTAAACGAAAATATGTGTTATTCTCATAAATTCAATTATGCTACATAGTGAAAGTCAGAACTGCCTACATACATTATCATATCAATTAAGCACCTGTCAGTTAATGTAGGTTTTTTTTACTAACGATTCCTTGTTAGCAACTTTCAGCATTATTTATTTGTATAGCAGATGGACATAAGTGATGGAATTTAAAGCACACATTTTATTCTTTCTAATTTAAATTTGGCATAAAAACGTTAAATTATGCTCTCAGAATTAAACTGATTTCACATTGATACGAAACTTTATCAATATTTCTCCTTCAAGAAAACGAGGCAATGACAATCTTAAATCTATTCATAGCAATTTAAATATTCACGATCGAATTGGATTAATCTTGCTGAAGCCAAATCGATGCGATGCGATGCAACCACGACTCGGTTTACGAGCAACAACAGGAGTTGAATTAAGTCTGCATTGTAGTTTATCCTTGCATCAAGTAATCGACATGAATTTGACGTAATCGGCTCAGCAGACTATGAGGAGCAAGAGAGAACCCTCCCTTCCTGTAAGTTGTCACTTTTGATCTCATCTGAAGACAATGATTATGCTCCAACCGTTCCCAGCCCACTGATTGTTTGCCATTCATATTTAAAAAAGAGAATTGGGATTGGGTGGGATTTGGATCGCATTTCTGATCTAAAAGAAAGTGTATGTCGATTGACAGAAATGGAGACACAGCGCAGGTTGCAGTCTTGCAGTTTTTGAAACGGCATAAATTTAGAACGATTGGATAATATTACAGTGGAAATCACAAACCTTGACGAATGCGTATAATTTAAAAAAGTATAAATACTCCGCTTATATTATTATGGCTAAATAATAGGTGGCTTTTTATTAGCTTTGGAAGATGCAATTAATGCTACTCATTGTAAGGAATGAACATTTTGTAATTAAAAACTCTGGGAAATAGATATTGAATAACAACGTTATGTTCTTGCGATATCGTAATTGATATCAGTCATGCATTTCCTACAATTAATATTATCTCATCTCAACATATGTACATACCTTTGACATTTTAAAACCCATGCATCAATAAACCTTGCTAAAATCCTGTCAATTATAAATCAACAAGAGGAAAGCCTGCAGATATTTCTCGTCCGTCATTCATAGTCTTTATCTAAAATGTGTTTCGTTGATACATACACAGCGAAAAATCCGGTATGTCAGGCAAAGCAGGGTTTTATTCAGACGGCAGGTCATTCAGTACACATTTTAATATTCTATGCAAGTATATTTTACAAGAGATGATATGTCAGATTGATGCATGACATTAAACGGCATATTTTATATTTTACGAAATTCTCAAAGAGTTGCCCAAAGCCTGGGAGGAGGAAGAGGAGGAGACGACGAGACGATATTACAGAGCCATTTGGTTATTGCTTCAGGTATGTCGATGTTGATAACAAGGCCGAGATAATCGAACTGACGCTGATAATAAATTTCAATCTTTTTCTCTATTCCCATTGTTCTAATCTGAGCTGAATTTCATGATAACAGTCAGCCAGCCAGCCAGCCAGCAGGAGGTACAGGACGTATTACAACAACATTATCACAAGCGCCATGCTAAAGGTAACTGTGTTGTCGGGTGGACAATTAAGCAATTAATTATACCAATAGGTTAACTGTACATTAGGAAAGGACAGACCTACAAATACTAGAATAATGTTGATAAAATAACTCGAATTACCAAGTGATGACGCTCAGAAAAAAAGCCGGGTTGCAATAAATATGTAGGCTCAGGCAAGAACGAAATATTTTTGTTCAGTAATAAATACCAAGAGTGTAATAACATGTTCTCATGATTCCTGTCCAAATTGACGTATAATTACAATACGAATACATGACTATTTGCAAAACATCATGCAAATTATGAGGATGTGAGAAGGTGAGGGAGATTGGGTGGTCTCGAACTACAATTAACACCACCACGAACTGCAACTACCTCACATTTCATATTATTACATTTATTTATCAGAATCAGATCAGTCAAGTGAGACGGGATTTGATGCACCAACATCACCACTACCAGACTAAAGTCGATGATGGTGTGGTGATATGGTTTTAAATGCTCGCAAATTTATGAGACTTTGCAACTTGTCAATGCTGTTGACAAGAACTAATTTGAATTCTCTGCTAACGAACTGAGTTCCATGCTATCTTTCAGTGACGATAAAACTCAACGGCTAGGTTTTTGTGCTGACTTTATCTATCTGATTACTTGCTAGTCCGACCCGGCACTTCACAATTCACAGTTCATGAAGGTTGCCACACTCCGCGTGATATTTCAAGGACCGAGCCGAAATAGCTGCTTGCATATGGACCTCTTTTTTGCACGATTATGATCAAGTTTCTCGACCTTATACTTATCGGTCTATTTAAACAATATTATTATGACGAGAATCATTAAGAGTATAAAGTAGCAAAAGAAGTAAACAGTGCCGGCGACATTGATAACCCTTTCAACACTGAACAAAATCTTCAAGATGTGAACATGTACGAGGTTTGAAACTCCAGATCCATTAAGTGCTAATATCATACAATTAGCTCTATAGCATGCAATTTATTAGTATGGCAGTGAGCGAGCATAAAGTTCTCTTTCATATACAAAACCAGTTCTCTTGACCACAACTTAATACGTACGTTTACTTCTTCCTGCATGATCAAGATCGCACTGAAAGAGTAAATAATACAAAAGTTACCGTCAAAATTTCTCCACGTATCGTGAATACCCTAAAAACCGGCTTATCCTGTCCCGTGTCCCATCATCTGTTTGCATACACTACCAAATTGCCTATGTGTAACCTCCAGTAATAGACAAGGAGGCAAATATGTCCCTGCATGCATATTTTTCTCCTCTCTCCGTGCTGCATTCCAATGCACCTTTAAACCGGCCGGAAAAATTCTCCAAGATAACAAATGACCTTGACACCTGTTTCGCTTGCCCTTATGGTCAAAAACTGCAGCGTCAGCTTGATGACACCACCACCGCCCACCTTTCCTTCACTTGTTTCATTACATTCTAAACATCACACATGCTCGTTAAACAGCAACTTATTGTGTTCATTCATGAGTTCCCCTCCAGTATGAGATGCGCTGTATTAACTATTAGCGAATAATAATCAATTTATCTTAGACTTACATAAATCAGGTCTCCTCTGAAGCGCTTCCTCAGATTTTCAATAAAAGCAGCCGTGTCGTTCGGATCGTCCAAAAGAACGGCGTCAGAAACGCCAACGGCGTCCCTGTCCTCCAACGCATTCTCCATCATTTTGAACAACGAGAATAACACTTGACTGGTAGTATAATTAGTAAAAGTTTGGATATATTTTTGGGGAGAGTAAGAATTTCACCCAGCCAAAACTACGTTTTCCACCACTTGACCTCTCCTTCCTTGAGGAGTCTCTGATCTGTCTGGCACTGATGAATCTCGCAACTTTGACAGTTGACCACAACCTCGACCACTGGCGAATAAGAAGTCTGGTCAGAGTTAACTTAGTTTGAGACCTGGTGTCTGGGAACGTCAATACGAAACTGAAAGTGTTTCATGCATGCGATGGAATCGGTCTCGAAAATCTGCTGTCAAAACCATCACTTCATCTCTCCTTCAACCCACGACTACATGTTCCTTTCTTGTTTGTTGTATGTGCTGGATGGGATTGGAGGAGGTGGAAAAATATCTATGTAGGACTCTCCAAACACTGCGGGTTTCCACTAAAATCATTAAAAGAACAAATATCCAGATTTAGAATCGCATCTCGACTCGCCTAATAACCTGCAACATTGGATGGATATGGATGCCCCAAGTTGCTCGTTAGTTACCTGCCCTCACATGCACCACATTTTTGACACATTGAATGCAAATGTATGTATGTAATCGCACCATTTGATTTGGCATAAGTGATAAATAATAATCTTCACACGGATTCCTTTCTGTTCAATTGATCATCATGATCGCAGTATTTATCTCTCTCCAAAGTTGGGAAAAGTGAAACTATTGAGAGGAAATCATGCAGATTCAGAGGTAATTATTCTGTTAGTTTCAGATGGCTTCGAGTCTGTACTTTGTTACATTGCACATTTTTCGATTTCCAGTTCCAAATGTATGACACTTTTCTTTACTGGCTCAAGAAGAATTCGAATTAAATCAGGGAAGGATATACAAATTATTTGGAAATGAGGCCATATATGGTTTTTGTACTGGTGGTGTTCTCATTTCATCATCTCATCTCTTCAATTTCTGCCATACATGTATTTATTCCAACTACAGGAGCTAGATAAATAAATACGACACAGATAGGGGAAAAAACCTTGAAAACCGTTCAATATTAATCCAGAGGTTGCTATTCAATCAATCACCCACTCACCTACTGGGACTAAATAAGCGTTATCTAAAACCGGCTAAAATAGTTGGCTAAATAACGGTGAACGCTTTGGAAGACAACTCTACGCATAGAATTCTCACTTATTTGAACAGTTTTTGTCGTCATCATGCCTGGACTGAAATTTGAACTGGGATGGAACTTTAATTGGGAAGATGATTAGATAACGCAACTTGAAAATGACACGTTCATTAAAGCGTTCATGGTTCGATTGCTTAACTGTTGTAGCACAATGCAATGCCATGTCACCAGGTTTCACCAGGTACAAAATTAGGATCCGACTGATGGAAAATTATTCCTGATGATGACATCTCCTTCGCTATTGGTAATAAATTGATTTAATTTCTCAAATTGTTTAGAACTGAGGATTTTTTAATTCTATGCAGTTTTACGACATTTTTGTATGCATCAGACAATTTCAAGCTGGAAAATTTTCTGACTTTCCTCAATGCATATGTACTTAATGGAATCCTACTTTGCAAGCAGGATGTGTCGATATCATGATGTTTTAGTTCCTTTTGAACACATCCTTATCTTTATTCAATGCCACTTTGATAAGCGTTCAACGAATTTCCTAACCTTTTGTTCCAACTTTTAGCTTTAAAATATTTGCTGATTACTTGTCCATATCAAGTCAGTTTGCTGCTCAGGTAATGTGCAACTCTACTCGTGTCAATTCATTCTCACACAATCGCCTCACAATTCACTTCACCACACTTTAAAACGGCAGAAAGGATAATACAACGAGTAACAGGACTTGCATAATAATACTTTAGGATGAATTTACCTTATTTAAACACACAAACACAGTTAGCACTCATCAAATTTTGTTAATGACGGGCCTTGCACTTACTTTCGAATAATTTATTCCATCACTAAAACTTCCAGCATAAGAGTTTGTGTTACTTGCTTTATGTGACAATCTCTACCTTTTGACCCATCGAATCACGCTGCATTTTTGCAGTTTATAACACGAACTCGTATATACATAAATATGATTTATTATGTTTTTAAGAATCGCTGAAAAATCGTCAGTATAATTTCAAGGGATTACATATCAGTTCAGGTTATGTAATGCAATTTCCGTTCTTTCACTCGCTGCATCGTACGTCAAGGAAGGCAAAAGAGCTATTTCTACTAGCTATGGGATGAGATGATGCTCCTCATCGCCAAACAAAGGCTCAAGATGAACTGACGGGTTTGGGCAAATTCTCTTGATTCTTATTCTGTAGAACAAGAACTGCAGTAACCCACGTCTGTCTCGAAAAAGGTGTACGATGTAAACGATGAATAGTGCTAAATTGTAGACTTTTACATAGTTATCGCTTGGTTTCTCACAAAAGGAATTGTAGTATTTTTGCAATGGTAGCTTGCCCACTGCTACGACGGACTTTGTATACTCTTCACAATTAGCAAAGAAAAGGTTAGCAAACTTGTAATGTAATGGATGTAATGGCCCCCAACATTGATTGTACCTGTGCAAATAGAGAGTGCACAAGTGCAGGATCAACTCTCCTTCTCTACAAATACTACATAATCTCTCAAAATGGTCTTCAGACGAGAGGACGCTCTACACATTTCACACACTGATCTATAGGTTTTAAAAATATAATTACAATTAGTTTGTTGGTAAAGAAAATGAGTGTGTACTACGGACGGTTGTACATTCATGAAAGTAATAGAACGAAATTATGAGTATGTACAAGACCTACAAATTGTCGCATGTAAATATCTGTTGTGGTTTGTGGTCAACATGTTAAAATGCATGATGCTCGTATAGTATGTAGATCTCTAATCAACAACCCGAGAAACCATCGACTTTTCCGTTTGTTTTGAAAATGCATATATTTTCAATAGGTAATCGGGTATCTGATTAATGGTAAGGCTCAAATGTAGATTTATTTAGCATTACTAAAGTTTTAATGAGTCATCGAAGCCTTAAGGTAGATAACATAAAACAAAGTATAACTCTCTCAATGAAATTTCCAATCATTCATGAGAATTAATAGCCGTTGTACTAATTCGTGACGATCGTTTTCATTATATGCAAAATGTACAAAAAGCTAAACCCATTACTAAATGCTGTAATTGCACATAATCATGTTGATCTTTCCTATAGTTTGTATGTGAATGACTCCGGAAGTTTAACCATTCAAACAAATACCAAGTATTAATTGTAGAAGAGTATTTTCAGTTTGATTTAATTGAATCATTTTGTCTGTATTTGCCCACGTTTATGAATGATGCTTAGGATATTTACTCGTAAAACTGCCCCAGATAGATAACGAAAACTCTATAAATGGAAATTCATACGTTAAACACATGTCCAGTTGAAAATTGCAACTGGTTTTTGAACAATTGAATGTTTTGTGTTGAAATAATAGGCTATAAAAACCATGGTTCAATTAAAATTCAACGACGCTGTGGTACAGCAGAATTGTCATGTAGAGGTAAAGCCATATTCCTATACTGATATTGATATTATCTACCCAATTACAACAATTGCATGGTGATTTTCTTTTATAGAATCCTGTTCTCGTGACAAAAATAAATGCAAATGACTCAACAGCCACGGCGTTTATTATTTGGAAATATTCAATAACAACATGGAAATGTGAATATTACTGCATAAAAAATTCCGATCTTACGGGAAACGTTTACATTTCTGAGAATACAAATCTTCATTCAGCTTTAAAATTTTGGTCAGATCTGCTAGCATCTGTTCCTGGTCGAGTTGTGGTTATCACAGACGCACGCTTTGAAAACTCAACAACAGATATTCGTGTCACAACCCATGAAATACAAGTTACTCGAGCTAGAAAAGGGCTAGAAAGGCTTCGAATTACGGGTGATGGCGAAAGTGATGCTTATTTGTTCACAAGAAAATACTTCAATGCCATGAATGATCTGAAAAATGGCACAGAGAAAGATCGACAACGGTTTAAAGAGCATATCCAAAAAATCAAGTCACCAAATTCAGTACATTTCGAACGTGTTGTTATTTCATAGGATCATTCAAGGGTCTGTATTTCCCAGTTTTATATATATCTTTAAAAATATAACACTTACATAGAGTTTAAATGTATATAATTAAATGTATATCACAGACGGCAAACAATGCTTAAGTCATTTACTTTTCATTGTCCAAGCCTTTAACAAACTTGTATCTCTTAATAAACGTTGTGGCGTTGCGACGTTTTAATGGTTCGTTTATATCTAAATCCTCCGGCTTATCGTAAATTGTACCAATAACTATTCGCTCTGGGACATCTGGATTTAAGAAATAATGGCTGAATTCCTTCCTCTTGTTCCTCTGTGTTCGTGTAGAAAATTCTAACGTTTCTCCATAAAATCCAAGTCCCCTTCTGTCAGATGGTCCAAGACCATCATTGCCAAGGGCTTCTGTCATGCCAATAATTGTTGTTCCCAGTCCTTGACCATCCACCCATCCAGCCTTTTCCATAATTTTCCGACCAATTCCCCTTGTATGCTTTTCGAAGGCGCCAATTTTTTCTTTTTCAGAAGTAGATGGGCCTGAGGGAGAAGAAGGGCGTACAACCTTCGGAAATTTCGGAGCAAATACTGAAACGTCTTCAAGGCCCTGTTGGAATCTTTCAGATCTCCTCATTTCCATAAAATCCTTAGCATCTTGATCTCCACCACCTGTAATAAATGAAGATAAATTAGCACAAATATTCGAATAATTTATTAAGGCTTAGTTAGTCAAGTCATTCTTATATAATAATACCTTCAACGTAATAACCCTCCATATCCACATCCCAATCATCATGGTCCTCCTCTTGGGCCTCCCAAAATTGTGCATCCGTATAAAATACAAGTCCCGAACCACCTAACATATTTAACTAGCATTAATATTATCTGCAAGTACCCGTGAAATAATAACAGCAGCTACCTTTTTCCCATTTCAACTCTATTTTCTCCTCATACAACCGCTGTTTATCTTCGTCAAACATGGTTCCGTGAGATGTTCTCTGTAAGTTCAAAGTAAGCAAGATACAATGAGTTTTACAATAAGCTATTATCTAAAAGTAAGATTAAAGTTTTAAAAGTAAGATTATTCCAATTTATTACATGGTCATTTAATGCTTCATGTCTCTCCCATTCTTCACACCCGTCATCATCATCATCCGCATTGCTTTCCTATAGAATGGCATATTTAAACTTTAGCACTCAGCCTGCAAGTCCTTAGTAAATTATCATTTAATAATACCTGATCAGACTCCTTCTCTTCTCCTTCTTGGTGATTTCTACCTTGGTCTTCACCCCCAATGGAAGAAAGGACTCGTCCTTTCGCATCTGTTATATCGTCCTCATCGTCCTCTTCTCCGATGGCTTTCTTACTTTTAAATGTCCCATAATCAAACGGGACGTTGCTGTACTTCTTAAATACTCTGGTAATAAATAGTTATACAATGAGATCATAGTTATACAAATTGATATCATTAACATAAGGGTGAATATTGTTATACTTAATACCTTCCCCTAGGAAAATGAAGTCCTAGCTTTCTGATTATACTTGGTGGTAATTTACATTCTTTAATTAAGTCAAGAAAGTGCTGATTTGGGGTTCCAACGTTTCCCCTGAAAACAGAAATAGCATGTCCACCAATGAAAGAAATTCAGTGGAAATCGCCAGTAGCAGAGCTGGGATAATCCTGATTAAGGATTATGGATTATTAATCCATAATCCCTAATCCGGCAATGAGAGTTTTTTGTAGATTAATCCCAATCTATAATCCCGATTTTTCAGGAATTAGAATTAATCCGGGAATAATCCCATTTGATTTCATTAATCCATAATCGTGATTACGGATTACTAATCCTGATTAATCCCAATCATGATTACTAATCATGATTATTAATCCAGATTAATCCAAATCATGATTACCTATTCATGATTAATTCTCAATCTGGATTACTCAGTTCAATTCCCAGTTCCATTTCATCCCACTGTGTAGCTTGAAGTCTCAAGTTCTCACAACTTTGTTCTGTCAGCTACCATTTGAAGAATCAACATGTTCTCGCTGCCTTGTGCTACATATATCAATTGAAACTGGCCTTTTAAATATTTTATGTGAAACCACATAGTTGAAGTTTTTGCGCTAGATATAGTGTAAAAATCATTAATCACCAAATTAATCCGGATTATTAATCCATAATCCATAATCCTGAAATTTCCAGAATTTATGGATTAATCCGGATTAATCCTGACATGAATTAATCTCACGAAAATAATTTAATCACAATCCACATTATTTTCTGGTTAATCCATAATCCTTAATCCACCCTAAAAAACCAATAATCACCCAGCTCTGGCCAGTAGAATGCAATCCGATAAATTTAATTTCTAGTCTCCTACTAACCTCGGCATTATAGATGGTGGTGAAAGTTCTTTGGAAATAAACTTTTGCAAATCATCCTGACTGAGTTCCATTTTGGAAATGAATACTTTACTCGGCAATTCATTCCCATCCTTATCCATCCACACTTTAAAATTGTATTTTCTAATAAATTCCAGTCGTGTTCTTTCCTCATCGAAACGGATAAGGCAACAGAATCTTTTTCTTGTCGTGACTGCTTCATTTTCTGGATTAGTCAAAGTCGCACTAGAAGCTGATGCTGGTGTCGTTTTAATGTTCACAGTTTGTGGACGATGTTTAAAATGAAATAAACTAAACTTGTTGGCTTCCGTAAAAACTGCAAAGTAATTTCGCAAGTCGGATGAATGAAAAGTTTCTGGAATATTACTTAGCAGACAATACAAATATTTTGTTGAATTGATATTTGCGATAGACATTTCCTTCTCGAAAAAGATTAACAGTCAACATGACAAGTATTTAAGAGATTTATACAAATAACTCAACTCATGTGGGCAAATAGCTTAAAACTATGGTCATTTTAAATTTTAAACCGATATCACTTCTAAATTTACTATAATCAAGGTGCCAAAATAAGAAAACATTATATCAGTTGATGAAACTGAAACTGAGTTTCGCGCAGTAGACATTCGGGTAAATCGAACAACAAAGTACACCCAATGAGTACACTCCTTTATGAAAATTACACTATTTTGCATGCGTAAAGAATAAACGAAATGTTGACAATTTTATTCACTAGTGTTCATTATATGTCTTGAAACTAATTTTAAAAATGTTTAAACCTAAAAAAATTGGAAATTGGTGACGATTATGTCATCACCAATGTTATTGAGGATCGGCAATATTATTTTCCACGGCGAATATTGGTTGTTCCTGACAATTTTTAGGTCCACAGGCTCTGTGTCCAGTAGTTAGCAGATGATAGGCTGAGAATAAAATACGCAATTATATTACTGATTCTTGTAACTGGAATTATTCTATGGTTTGCCACTTACCAAATCGTCTTGAGCTACCGCTAACAAAGTAGCATCCTGAGCACTCGAGGATAGTCGAATTATCATTTAGTGCCTTTGACATACCGAACATTTTGGCTTTGGCGATACTTTCGTTCGGTTCAGTAACATCGTGAGATTGGACGTGCTTTTGTATTTTGTAACTACAACAAGTTTCAAATCGGCATCGGCTACATTTCATGGTTCCTCTGAAAAGTATAATAATTTCATGATTGCCAAAAAATCAAGCAGATTGGGCCAAGAAGTTTGAACATAATATTTTACATACCGGTAATGGCCTATTAGATGAATAGGTTTCCCACACTCCCAACAATTCATATTAGAATGTTTAGCAACATCACTAATGTTAATGTTCATTGGTGTAAACATGTATCGGTCACAAGGATTCAGATTTGGATTTGCCCCGGAAAGTTTTCGAGTCTTTGTTTTCTTTGGGGGTGGAATATTCATATCCTTGTTCACCAGTGGAGGTTTTGGCATTCTGATAGGATTATCGTCAACCTCGTGTTGCACGAAATTTTTTGTGGCTCTGCTCTGATGAGCTGAATCAGCTACGAGATGTGCACGGAAATCCAAGTCTGTCGAGAACGTGAGGCAACAATCTTGACACTTTTTGCCCTTGCGAAGGATATGATTTTGAAGATGGGTAACAACGCTTTTCAGGCAAGGGATGGATCGGCAGGCATACGTCTTTAGGCAAACTGGACACTGGACAGTATCAGACCCACCGTGTTCCTATATCATGTATAAAATATAGTACAAATAAACTGTAACTTAAGTCATATCTTTATTTTGATAGTTCTTACCTTAAAGAAATGGTCAACACTATCATAATGAAATGAGGTACGATAATCGCAAAGTTCACATCGATATGGGGCTTCGCAATTCACATGACGCTGCCACATATGAATAATTAACATTGTCTCTGATGGATATTTAGTGAGGCAGATTTGACAAACGTTGACTTCCCCAATCTTCTTGTGTACCTGTGAAGCGTACGGAGACAAGCGTTTTATACAATATTCCCTCATCTTAGAATTTACAATATAACTAAATATTCGTAACTTACTGAGTTTATATGGGTCTGTAGTAAGGCTTGGGTCGGTAGTTCTTTCATGCAATAACGGCATCCATGAGGATTCGTTGTAATTCTTCCAGCACTTAGAACGTGACGGGTAAGATGTGAAATTGCATCCGTATTATTTCGAAGAACTTTAGAGCATAGCGGGCACTGTAAATACGAATCAAAATACAAAACTAACCATAAAATATTATTTCACATTCTTATTTATACTAGTATTTCAAACTAAAAAATAAAAAAATAATTATAACCTTCAGATTGGATGGAAATTCCACTCTGTACTTGTCCACAGGGGAAGGACAATAAACGTAGTAATATGCTTGAAGTGTGTGTGTTTTTGGATTTTCACGAAGAATTTTTTGCAAATCTAAAGCTACATCATCATCAGCCTTTCGTTTTGACCCAAAAGGTTTTGCAGTCGGTTTCTTGCTGTAATCTGGAGTGAGACCTTTTGCAGCGGTGCTGTTTTTTGAGCTGTTCATGTATGTCGAAACAAGACTGGAAATCCCACCGTCCATTCCAACAGCACTTGCAACGAGGTCAGACAACGGCTGTGCTCTAATGCTGTCTGGGAGACATTCAATTCCAGATGGCGGTGGCAGTAGTTTCGAATATGACCATTCAGCAAATGGATTTAAAGAAATCTTGTTTAGTCGAGGGATTAGGAGTTCTCCTGTGTCTGCCTTTGTCATGGCCGCTAAATGTAATAAGGCTGTATCGAATGCTTTTAAAGGTTGCGAACCCCACAGTTCTCGCCATGATAGCTCGTCTAGGAACTGTTGTATCAGACTTTTGCTTAGAACACACAATGTATTCTAGGAAAACGAATTGAAATATTATTAGTAGGTGCTGGAATTGTAATATCTAATTCCAGAAACTTACTGCAAACATGTTTGAGACAATGCATTTGAGATAATGCATTGCGTTAACATTGAAGGGAATGATGGGCTTAACTGGGCCACCACCAAATATACCACCAGGACTTTCGGATTGGCTGACATTCCTAAATCCTATTTTTTCTATCATAGTCTATTAGATTAAGAGAAACAATAACCAATTAGCAAACGCAGTAGAGGTGTACTTTTATGAAGCAAAATATGTACCTTATCTAGCGAAGAATCAATGAGCAAGACACTATCGCGGTTAACCCAAGTGCTTATAGGAGTTAAAATTTGATCAATCCTTTCCTGCTTGGCCACATCTCCGACCTAAAAAAAATGTGTATACAATTAATTTATAGAACCAGACCAGTTAATTAATGTATTCAAGTAGCATATTCAAGTACCAATGTAGAAGGGACGTTGAGTAATTTCATTCTAATAAATTTAGCCTCAAGATCTAGCACTCCCAGAATTTCAATTTGCATCGGTCCAGCTGCGTCTACTTGCATCTGTAAATAAGGACATTTCATACCTTAATAACTCTAGACGCTCAAATGCATAACTAAGCAATATTTTGAATATACCCCAAGCAATGTTCTGAGGGTGACCACTGATACTTCAATGTGTTTACCACGGCCTCCCATTACTGATGCATTCTGGTGAAGTGCTGCCACACAAGCACTGCGTAACAGAGTGTAGACATCTTTCAGGTAGTAACTGTTAACCTGAAAAAGATTAAAATTGAAGTCATTTTTATATTCATTGACTTAAAAAAATCATTCAGCAGGTTATTACTAACCTCGACACATTGCAGAACGCTTGGGGCTGGAGTTTGGCAAGCCCAATGGTAAATTAACTTCATCGTAGTGGATGGAGGGTAGACGGAGGCTTCAAAAATTGATCCGTGAAATACAGATTGCTGCTTCTCTAAACAACAGTCAGTGGTGAACACATAGCCCCCACTGTGAGGATACTTGTCACTGTCGGAATACATTCCTAGTTTGTAAGGATTATTATGATCTTCACATTTATGATCCATCCTTATCAGACCCTTTTGAATCAGCCATTCCGTAAATTGTACGGGTGACTGCATTAAAATGTTCTTCACTTTTGCATCTAAAATATTCAAACAAAATTTCATAAGTTTTAAGTTTCATAAGTTCATAAGCCCTGCACATTTTAAACATATTTCGTATGGCAAATATCTCTGTTTACCTAACTCGCTTCTAACTGTATTTGATTGAGGTTTAGTAAGTTTTTCTTGTAGGTTAGTTTTTACAGCCACGTTCAAAGAGGGGAAGGTCTTGGCGCTGGGACCCTTATCTTTATAATTAGGCGTATTCGTATTATGATTATTATTTTTGGGGATGTTGTTGGTGGCGGCTGATTGTCTAGGAGTTATGCTAGTTAATTCAATCGGCTTATTTGCTTCAGCATGTGGTCGCTTTAATGCTGCTGAGACTGGAGCCGCAGTTGCTGGTGGTTGGTAGATTGGCCTAGATCCGGGAGCCTTGGGGGCAATCGACGTGTACTGCGCAGCCTTAGGTCGGGGGACAGGCGTCGTCTTATCTTGGCGGATAGTGTTTGAAGACAAACTGTTCACATTCGTTGCTCCATTCATCATGGTTGAGGCGATGCTGGTGGCCGGCGGTTGTTGAACAACTCTGGTTAATGATGTGCCATTGACCATGAGGGGGGCAGCAGGTCGATTCAGCTGCGGAGAACCAGATCTGAGAGAGGCAATCAAGTGTGGGGGAGCTTGAACTGCTCTGTACTGCCGTAAATTTTCATTAGCAAATTGCTGTGATGCAGTAACTGCTGTTGAAGGCGCTAGAAGAAGATTAATTGAATTTCACAATTTTACTTTTACAAATTTGGTAAATACATATTTTTTAAAACAAACTTACGAGCTTGGGTCGTGGGACACAGCAATAGTCCAGTGTTTGGGTCAAAGACAACTTGATGCATATTCCGAGATACTGAATTTGAACCTTGCTGTTGATTACTCGTTGACGAGGTTAATATTGTGGGCCTGTTACCAGCCCCCGAGTATGTTCTCAGTGGATTTGTTGTTGTCATTGTTGGCACTGAAGAAACTACGAAGAATAAAATTAGTGCACCATGATATAACAATGAATAGCAACAAGTGTAAGAATTTGTGAAATAATGTTACTACCTTTTTCAAGGCCCCGTGACGTTACTATACACCGAACAGTGTTAGAGTTCTGCTGTGACGAGTTAGCATCAAGTCTAACAAATCTTTGGCCGGAATATGTGTTATTCCCTTCTTGTTGTTGTGGGACAGTTGTTGCTTGTCCAGCAGTCGACTGATTCGCGTTTGGTGAAGAGGGGGCCAACGTAATGGCTCCGGTTGCTGAGACGTTGATAACTGTTGGAGTTTCTCTGGTACGAACACAGATCCCATTCTGGCCCTTCTTCTCAAGGTCTTTCAACATGTTGCTCAGCTTTCCCAGTTTCTTACACAAGGCTAGCGACTTTCTTTGCTTTTCCTGAAACATAAAACGTATGTAAAATCATTCAAATTAAACAAACTAGAGAATATTATATATGACGACTAACGGATAATGGCAACGACGGCGTCGTGCAAAACATGGAGAATGACTGGAGAAGACTGTTGTTAGGACTGTCCAACACATATGGGGTGTGAACTTGATTTGAAACATCCATATTCAAACTATCTAAAGCATCAGAGCGTATATCTGCAGTGTCATCATGATCAACTGGAATGATAAAATTTGATTCGTTGTCTTCGTTCAACACGCTTGTCGCAGGTGGTTTATTTTTTGGTAAAGTCGAACAGAGTTCAATAACATCATCGTCCGAGTCTTCACACAACGATCGGATATCTCTAATTCGTATAACTCCTGAATCGTCATCCGAGTCCCCCGTATTTTTCGAAAGTCTTTCCTCATTTTGAATTCGAGTTGCCTCACTCTCTAGGTCGCCTCCAATGATGGTGGGTGTCGAACCTCTTTTACTGAAGCTTGTGTCGAGTACAGAGGTTGACCTCAAGACGATGTTCGGATTGGCTGGTTCATCATCCTCGTCATCAACATCCATCTGATTTTCATCAGACTCTTTATTATTATTAGGAATTTTTTGAAGGATAGTTTCCACCTCAGAGTCGTCAGAATCTTTGGTTTCATCCCTATTAAGACGAGAAGCATCTTTACAATTGCTGCTGTTGTTACAAATTTTTGAGACCACCTACCTTTTAGAATTATTGCGCTCTCCTTTGCCAGATTCTACGTCACCATTAACTTTATCTTTGGGTTGATCATCGATCTCCTCATCCATCATCTTATCTTCATCATCCTCAAGGTCTCCATTGATCTTAGATCCTTCTTCAACTAAATCCTTCTCTTTGTGCACATTACCTCCACCACTTTTACTAATTTCTTCCTGTTCCTTCTCCTCGTCACTCTCGAGATGCACTTCCCCATCGCCATTAATTTGTATTAAGGGATCAATTTCCATCTTATCTATTTAATTAGTAAGTAAATAAGAAAATGAAAATAAAAAGCTAGCTAAAATGGAAACGGGATTCGAAGTGGAGGGATTTGGCTGCAGCGTGGTTGTTGCAATGGGCCGTTCAATTATTACGTCATCAATTTAATCATCGGTCATTTTTTCCCTCCTTTCTCCAAATGTGTAATAAGTAATTAATAAGTATAACATGGAGAATCCCCATTGGGGATACATAGCTGATAGCCATTTTTCTCGCTTTTCTAATGACGTACGATGTTGAACGGACCCCAACTTGTGAGTGGTTCCTCAACCACTCACAAGTTGGGGTTTCTTTATGTTCTGTGAACGCGCACTTTGTCTTAGCAGCTCAGTCAGCGTCGTTTCTGGTCTCATTCTTCCCTCCATGTTGGACATTGTCTGACATAGTTTCATAATTTTTTCAATTTTGTAAATCTGTCTCTTGAGGAAAGTTTAAGCGTCAAATCTTGTCTAATCATGCCTAAAAATAGTTATCGGTCTAAAAGTTAGGACGCGTGTAGCTTTTCATATTCTCATATTTCCAGTTTAATAAAACACTTATTGAAATCAATCCAGTAAATTCATTTTATATTGATTTTGCTCAAAATATTCAACAAAAATGTTGCATCAGATTAATCACGGTACACGTCCACGAATATAAAATTAATGCATACACATCGCATAAGAATGTATAATACATAATACCACAATGCCAATAAAATATTTAATACCCACATTACGCGTTTCACGACAGCATTAATATGCAATACAATAAACATTCCACTCCAGCGAAACACCAAGGAGGAGGAAAGTATGTATGTGCTACCTTTTATTCGATTATTGTTTGTCATAATATATGTGCAAGTTTTTAAGGCTGCAACCTTTCGAAATAATGGAAATTCGAATTTCGAAATAGGTATGACCCGTAGGGTTGAAACAGTGATTCCATGCCAAAACTGGGACTGGGACAGCATGTAATAAGGAACAAGTAACTCTGAATTTGCATACATACTCAAGAGGTTTCAAGCCAAAGATGATTATGTAATAAGATGAAAAAATAAATTTTGTGTAAGTCAGTAATTTAATTCTTGCTAACGACACAAATATTTGTCCGTATTCTTATAATTGACAATGGTTTATTGGTATTAAGAGGTATAGAATGAAATATTATTTTTTATTGTTACATAGTCCATGGAACAGCTCAAGAGAAAATGTTCATAAAGCCTGCATGCCTTTTGGACGTGCTAACAACAAAAAAAAGCGGTAATTATTGCTTGTCCCTCAATTTGGTTCTCAAAGTGTCATTAAATAACGCCTGATTAATTCGTCTTTCAAGCGTCGCTATAAAACGAATTATGTATCATTGTATTATTAACACTATTAAAAATCGCATTGGAACGAATGGCTGGATGGAACAAGACCAGCAATTGTTTAGAAATCAAAATATTTGTCATTCATTCACATTGAACAAACATAAAAAAGTGACTCACTCTTCACCGAACATACTGGATACGAAAATGGATATGAAGGTGACACCCGAACCCGAACAGTATAATTTTTGCGAGCTTTTTTATTGCCAAAATAATCACCCCTTCTTCAAGTGATTATTGATACATATATAGAAGGATGGATTGTTATGCAGTCGGGTCTTAAAACTTAAAACCGAGATAAGTAGGTAGCTTCTTCTCCTTCGACTGTTTATGTTTATTATGCGTCGAAAGTTGATTTAATAGGTATTTGGATACGTCGTATTTCTGGGAAGTAGAGTCTATATAAACAACGCTGCGTCTCATTTTGGTGCAAATAAAATTTGGATGGTTTGTTCCATTGGTCTTAAGTTAACGGGGTTGTGCTGTTTTATTTGCAAAAACCGTCTCAACTCGTCTCAGCTCACTTGTTCTGGATTTATGCGTTCGTAGTGTGTTGAGCCAGCAAGTAAGCAGTGACTCTCGTCCTGGCTGGGATTTCTTCATTCTTCAGTACCGAATTCCATCCTCCTCTCGACTATTCAATATTTATCATCGTCTTCAGAAAAGGTAGACGGACAGAAATTTGAGATTTGTTTATGGAATCTGATCCCTGAATAGAGAGAGATAAAAAATATTATTGTCAATCAGTAATTAATGACCAGTTCATTCATTCTCGTTGCTGGGAACTGATTTTTTTATTAGTCTACATACATACTCTGTGGTCCAGTCATTGTCCTTCCAGCCCTGAAGTAGGTACCTCGTTTCGACACCCCGTGTCATCTCGTCGATACGAAGAAGAAGGTGAGATACATTTCGTGTCCATTCATTGTTGGTTAATTGGTAAGTGCAGATAGTCAGCAGGCTAGTCTTATGAGTGACGGCAGGGCAGACAGTGTTGACTTGGCTGATGATTAAGTTATTTTTTAACTAAATCCTGGTGGAGCCTGTGTCTACTTGCCAGTTGAAATATTTACATATTAGTTGGTTTGGTTTATTTGAGGGTGGAATTAGAACTACTTTTATCTTATAAAATACAGACTTTCTCCCTTCACGGACAAGTGGGATTATTATTATTCGGCAAGGATGCAGTCTCTTGTTTCCGTCAGTTTCTTGGTCATCTGTTTCGCTGTGCTCGGAAATCTACATGTCCACGCCAAATCCAGTGATGACGCTGATGTGAGTAATCAAAAAGCCTGTGGCGTCATTCCCAAGGTGAAAGTTCGGCATAGGTCTCGAGATCCAGGGTTATCATCGTTCGGTCAGATTCCATGGCAGGTGAGTCATCGTAGCAAAGCAAAATTTGACATTATTGCTATTATTTTAGAAAAATATATATATATTACTACAACTTGTGTACGTGATCAAAAGGTCGCAATTATCTACGCCCCGGAGAAGCTTGTCCTGTGTTCGGGAACCTTGATATCGTCAGGATGGGTTTTGACCTCCTCAGTTTGCTTCCTAGGAGTGCAATCTTATTCTGAGCTGGAAATTCGGATTGGAGACTGGGACCTTTCAGATCAAGATAATCCTGGCGAAACTTTTGAACACTTTACCACTTCAGTTGTCAACGCCGTGTTTCATCCAGGTGTGTCACTGTGTCTGCATGAATTAAATACTATCTAAGCTCGTTTTAAATGCTTTTAATTGTTTGGTGTATGCAGATCCCAACATTGTGCCCAAGACGCGTTCGAAATTGCCATTAGGAAAATTTGTACTCTTGAAGCTGAAAAAATCAGTTCAGTTTGCTAATTATCCTCAAATCGGTCCAATCTGCACCCAATCGATTCATGAAAGGCTGAATATCAGTTCCGTGGGACAATGTTTTATTTCAGGATGGGGATCTTACAAGCGTTCTGCTGTGAGTTATTGTATTAGAGTTATTTATTTTAATCTCATTTTATATGCTAATCGACACGTGCTTGGTTTTACATATAGCCAACCAGTTCAACAGACGACTTGAACGACCTGGATAACGACATTCAAACGAGCCATGAAGATGATGATACCTCTGAAAGTACTGATTTCTATAAAATATATATTTTTACATTGTGTGTGCCTTTATTTCAAATCTTTCTCTCTGTAATTCATTCTACTTATCATTATAGTTGGTTTTGATGCTTATGATAATGCCAGCCCACCCAAGGAGTCCAATTCCATAGAGAACTTTAAACATCTGAAATTAACGATTGATTCACCCATTGCTAACAAGTTTCCATCCGAGCAATATTTTGTTCCTGATCCAGTTGAAGATTATATGGATGAATTGCAGGCTGAAAAGTCAGCGATCGGAGATACTATTGGGTATGCCAAACTAAGGAAGTTATTTCATAACTTATTTCACATTAATGGAATGCGTATGAGATATACAATAATGTGAATACTCTTATGCTTGGGCCCAATTTTAGATCGGATTCTGATGAATTTGAGAGTAATGCAGAATTCTCAGCGCCGTTTCTTGATAGCATATATCCCATAGAAGACCACCATGAAACTAGTTTGTACAAACACAAATTGAAATACAAACAAGGCAAGATAAAGGGTATCAGAAAGATGGCTCGAGTCAAGAAAAATTTGGACGTGAAAATTGGTGGAGACGAACGGTCTCAGCACAGCAACAAAAAGCGCTTCTCTAGATGGAAACAATATTCTGAGCGACGTCGTAGAAACCGAAAAGTCTTGTACTCTGACCATGCAAAACCGGAAAAGGCCACAACTCTCAAATTGTTTCAAGTCGACCTGCACGATGATTGTCACCTCGTGGAGAATTCAAAAGTGTGTGTATCACCTTCAAATGGACGTTATGACCTGTTTCCATGCATGGTAAATAATAATAATAAATTCCATTGCATGCATTTTCTAATTATTTAGTGAAAATTAATTTGCTTAGGCGGATTTGGGATCTCCCGTTTTCTGCTACGGCCCAGAAGAGAAACACCATCCTCTCGGGAAACCAAGCGTAGTAAGTAAATAATTAACTTGCCTATTCCAGGCTGCATAGACTAACTTAAGGGGCCCTCACCCCCACAATTTAATTAATTAATTACTATGTCATAGACCCCAACATCTTTTTTGATCGGATTTGTCCCTGCCACTTTCGCTTCGTGTGATGACACTTTCCATGAATCGCCCCAGCGAAACCTTCTCCCGATATCCATGCTGTCGACAACAGACATAATCTTTCTACGCGCCACAGTTGACGAGTAAAAGTCAGCGCGTCGTCGTTTCTTGTTATCTTACATCTATTACATGCATACAATTATAGCCCATTGTAATTCACAATTTTTTTATTAGCTGATTGCAACCAAGTCTAAATTTGGAAATGTTATCTAAATATTTAACAAATCTTATTAGATAGATAGTTTACCTAAGTTGAAAAACATACAAATAAATATACCTACCAGTTACTCTGATTCACAACGAAACAATTTACTTAAGGTTTGGAACATGTTATAAAGGCTACGTTACAATTGTACTCTACTGCATTTATTTTTGTGTCGATGATATTTTGAATTGGCCCAGTATCAAACCTTGGAGAACTTTTAAGAAACAAAAGTAACGGCGTTTCATGGCTCTTGTCCTGAATTGATGATTCATTGCCTCTTCCCAAGGTCGGTCTTCTTTGCTTCAAATCATTCACTTTATGATTCTCTAAGCTCAAAATGACAGGGTAGCCCAGAAATTTGCATATTCTTTCTCCCATTTCCATTGACAATAAATCGGTGCAGTATGGATGCCAAGATCCTTTCACCCGAACCAGTACGTACCCCTCCAATCTTTTTTTACTCCTGTCCATAGAGAGATGCTCTAGAGAAGTGGAAACTGCTGTGCAGAACGCCTCGTCCAAGCCGTTGGAACAGTCTTTGATCGTGTCACACACCAAATTTTTATGGATGCATTCCGTTGGGAACGAAGATCTATTAGAAGAAACAACACAAACAATAACCATCTGTAGTTTCGCGGAAATTAAAACGCCTAGTCTCGAACCTTGAGTTACACACGAATGAGTCAGGCTGACACGGACACCCAAGCTGATCACTTCGATCGGGACATGTCGATTCTCCTAAATAAATTTAAAATCAGCATAAAATCACAATTAAATAACAAAATAAGTTGACGACGTCGTAAGACAATTTGCAAATGAATGCAACTAAACTTACCATTTGGATTGCATAGCGTTCCTGGAGCAGCCAGTTCCAAATAGTGCTTACAAGTGCATAAGTGCTCTTCAGGTTCGTCCGAAAAATCGTCATACCCACAATCATACGCTCCATCGCAGAAGGCCGAAATCTGATTGTAATTCATTTAATATTAGCGACACATCAATTTAATTTAATTTGAGATTTGTTTAAAACTTACAGGGACACAATTCCCTGTCATTTTGCACTTAAAATGACCCAATGGACAAGTTGCATTTGCATAACTTGCATAATCGTCTTCATTTTCGACATCATGCGATCGTAACAGCGTTTGATAATGGCGTTGACACCTGCGCTCATCCAAACCATCCGGACAGTGGGCTTTGGTACAATAGAGCAGTTTTTCAGGTAGGGTTAGCAAAATACAAAAGTTTGACATGACTAACTTACCAATTCCGTCGCATACAAATTTATTCCCCACACAGTTTCCAACCGGACAACGGGTTCCGGTGCATCCTGGAGGTTGTATCACCGTCGAAACAGGTCGACTAAGAAGCTGTAGTGTTTCTGATGCTTCAGTTCCGTAAAATGGATTCTCCAGTTTCAACTTTCCGTCTTCGGTGCATTTGGCGACATTTTCAGCAGTGGCATATCCAAGCAAAAACCACGATGACTGATTTACCGTGCAGTAAACAAAATACTCCGTAGAAAGCTGCAAACAAAAATTACAAAGTCCCATAAATTGGAATATTTAATTGTCCTAATTATTGGATTTATTAGAGCAAAAACCTTGCACTTGTCACCAGTAAATCTAAGACAGGGGTGATCAAACGCTTCACAAGCAGGATCGTTCGTTACACTGCTTTCATGCAATGTACCGTTGATTAATTCCACACGTACACAAGATGGGATGATTCCATCTTCTTTTAAGCTGGGACTGGAAATGTACTTATCATTAGTCCATTGTTTAAAATAATCGAGAATTTATGCTATTCAGTTCGTAAAATTTATGTTGAGTTATTTATGCGACGTGTAAAATTTACGTGGAGCATATTGGAGTCGTGAAATGGTCGGGGGTGAATGCATTTTCCAATCGAAGGAGAGAAAGGCCAGTCGACAATCTGATCACGGAATTAATACGTTTCACCTGCTCCGTCGTGCTGGTAACAACGCTGCTGGTCTTCAAGAAACCTGTCGTAGCTGAAAGATATTCCGTCGACGTTGATCTAGAACGTAAATAAAAAATTAATCCAATGCATAACGAACCATATACATATTTCACACGCATAATCGCAGATTATTCTACAGTGGCGTATTAGTACCGAACATTATCGTCAATGCATTTTGACGAAGCCAAAAGCCATTGTTTGTTCACAAGTGTTCCAGGACAGATGGGGTTGCCCTCCAACATGACCATGGCCACCCAAGGATAAGCCCCGGTCTGATCAGCCTTCGGAAAATTAGTGTTCGCCTTCAAGTACAACTTCCTCATTCCGCACGTCCTTTCCTCTCCACAAATTGCTTTCCCCTGTTGACATTTCGCATCAGAAGTCCCTCGTTTCTTTCTCGCTACGGCATTCGACTCATCAGCCATAGATCGGGCATTTCGAGTTAAAACTGGATCAGACGGACTATCAAAAATAACAATAAGTACTGCAACAAGCATTCCACAAATATTTATAAAAATAATTGGTAATTAATTTACATAAGTCCTAAAGTGGGACAGACACTTTCTCCAATTGAATTACCCAGGTCCTCCTTACACGCAATTCCCCACTTTGTTCCCGACTGGCGAGTAACAACATATCCAAATTGCAACCCCCTAGAAACCTTATCTTCCAGAAATCCTTCATGGTCAGGCAGTTTCCCTCGTGATTTCATTAGTCGAACTGTGCACAAAAATGTATATATACATTTTTGTATGTAATAAATCTGTGATGCCAATATGTAAGAGGTCAGTAGGGCTGAAATGGCTTACCGCAGTCAATCTCATCTAAAATAATATAATTTTTGCAATAATTAAAAAAACTCTATATTGAATAATTTCATGGGCATATGAGAACTACCTTCGCCAAATGAACAGTCAACGGATGCATCGCACCATCTCGAAACACTGATACATAAATCAGATAAAGGACACTTGATTTTTCCACTGGTCCCATTGCAAGCTCTGCTGGAACAGTCCACCTCATCCGAACTAATTTTTGGTTAAAAATCAAGCGTCCAAAATTTGTATTTCAAATGAGAACATATGTAATTACAAATTAAATGAACTAACCCATCTGCACAATGATGCAATCCATCACAAACTAGGTGAGGATGAGAATTTTGCAAAATGCTTCCGCAGTCACAATGTTTCTCATCTGAAATAAAACACAACGACTTCTAATATGCTAATGAAGTTGTTATTAAATATATTGTCATCTCTCACCAGTGTTATCCATACAGTCAAACTTCCCATTGCACTTCAACTCTAGCGGAATACAGCTTTGTGTCCTATTCATTTTCACTTGTTAGTTTCACATTTTTTGGGCATTTGTAATTAATAAATTATTACGTTTTGCACTGAAACTCTGTGGGGCCACATAATTTGGCGGATCCATATTCGTGCTTGTGTTCTTTGGTGGCATGAGCAGTTCGTTTGATATCGTCGTAAGCTTCTTCATCAGCGTCGTCAGTGGAGGATGCTCGACTTCGGAACTGACAATTCATTTCGTCTTCAGCAGCCAGACAGTTGACGTGTCCATCGCACATATATTTTGGAAATAGACATTCTCCCCCATCCCGGTCACATTTTGCATTGCATTCCTTGGGGAACTTTGTTTGCTTCGAATTTCCTGTGAGACATACCATGAATTGCTAAATTGTAGGCATACACAGATTCAGATTAGTCTAATTTACCAGCAGTAACATTTTCTATCCAAGTCGTGTAAGCACTGACTCTGAAAATGTGTACAGAAATTGAAAAACATGGCATATATGACTTGAACATGATTTAATCAAGCTGTTTCTGTACTACCGTGTGTAAACGCCGGCTTGATCAGGTCGGGCACCTGAAATTTATTCTTAATTTTAATTTTCAGCTAATGACAAAGAATGCAGTAGCTTACATCCTCGTCCAAAACTGACAAGTCCACTAACGATTAGACGCCCTTCGTCGTTGCTTAAAATGTACAAAGCTTCATAATTCACACCATATTCATTGTCACCTGTGTAAAAAAATGGCATACGCAACCTTACGTGCAAATCAGTGGTCCTAAAATAGACAAAACTTAACTCAGTGTACCAGACTAGAATGATATCCATTAATTACAGCTTAAATAGATTTACTCACCACCAGAGTCGCCTTGACAAGCATCTTTTCCTCCTTCTAACACACCAGCACAAATCTGCAGTCGTACACGAACGGCATTGATTAATCGACATGAACAGATAACATTTGCAAAAATATTTACCTGAAGATTATCTTTGGTAAATGTTCCCTAAAAGAATTTGGATGAAACAATAATAAAACAACAATTTTCTTCTCAACATCACAAGTTTAGTTATTATTACCAAACACTTTGGCAATACTGGAAGTTTGACCTCTTGCAAATGGTCAGCTGAGAACAATTAGAAAATTATCACATAATTAATTATGAAATTAAATGAACAAGTCCACAAAACTTACGACCAGTTCCATCCTCTGACAAGTCTCCCCAACCGATCACTGTACATTCGTGACCTGCCAATGGATCTTGACTTACATCAGTCGACAGGCAGGCCGTGGTCACCCACTTTGAAAAAAAGAACGGGACATCAACCTTCATAAGTCTGCGATTTCAAAAATTTTGCATTAGGATCAATTAATAAATTACTAAAATGCAGTGGTTGTATGAGTACGCACGCAATGTCATTCATGAAAATCTTCGAGTCGTAACGTTCGTGAACATGAATTTCGGAAATGAAACGAGTCTGTTCCTTGGGTGAAAATGAGTGTCTCCGAAGCATTCCAACTTGTGCTTCAAACACGTACTTTTCAAATCCATGAGTACAATGGGCCGCCGTAAGGAGCTTTTTAACAAATAATAATATTGAATTCTTGATGTTTCATATGTAATTATTGTTCGCGCAGTGACATTGTTAATTTGTTACCCATTCTTTGTTAAATATACTGCCTCCACAGTGAAAAGTCCCGTTTCGATAAATTCCCACAATGAATGGCCAGTCTCCAAACTGCAAAAGAACTAAATATTTTACCAAATAGCGACGTAAATTGTTACATTAAAGTAATACATGGTTGTCATATCCTCCAACTGGATTGGTTGTCAGATCGCCGTTGTTGTCTATTGTAAAAGTTAAAAAAAAACATAAACAACGGATGCTGATAAGTAAAATACATAGTACTAAAATCAAGTCACTAACTTCTTTCATTGCTGGAATGATTAGAACCAACAACGAACTGCATAGTCCCATTTAGTAGAGGTTTGTCAAATTTCGTCACTGGCCAACCACACGCAGGTTCTGGGCAGCTGATGTGGTACAGTTTTCCTGAATTACATGACGCTGAAGCATTAAATTTCGATTCCTGGTCCTCCAGTTTGATGATGTATGTAAGTCGCTCCACGCCTTCAAAGTCATGTGCATTTATTGTCTTTATTTTTGGGTCTCTGAAATTTCAGACCCAGTTTAATAAAAATCTCTAGCGTGTTAAGTCAGCAATAATCGTATTGTACTAAAATGCGTCACTTACTCATTCACGTTCCCTACGATAATGTCACATGTCTTTTTCGCATATTTTTTAACCAATTGGTGTTCAACCGAACCAGAAGACTTGCAAACTGTATGCCAATCATTTCCTATTCGCTTTTGAAGAATTCCAGAGCTAACAACGCCTCGTGTCTTAATCACATGGAGAACAAAATCAATATAAGATTTTGCATACAAAATTGCAAATTTAAACCAAGCATAGCATCAATACCTTGGGATCTAAGGTAGAAACTCGGAAACATTCATTCTCATCACTGTGGGTTGGAAAACAGTCAATAATTCCTGAAAAAATATGTCAGCGTTTAAAACAGTGATAAAGTATTGAAACATTTCAATTAATAATTTACCGTCACATCTTTGTGAAATTTTTATGCAATGGGAAGCAAGAGTTCTGCCGGTGGAGCAACTCATTTCATCCTCTTTGCAACCTAATTAAGTATTACGACGAGTTAAATCCAGCTATTTGTATAAATGAATTAATGCTGTTAGATTTACCTAAGCCACACCCTAGTTCATCTAAACGAGTAAAGAGGTTAGGCAAAATTATATATTACAATTTGACGTCATCAAAAACTAAATTTACCTTCTCCATTGGGACAATCTTCAAGGCCTAAAAGGATCACACTTCAACTTTACGAATTGTGATTTTGCGAATCTGTTAATCAATTTCTTATGGATAGCATACCATCGCAGATTTTCTTGGATCCAACTCTATCCAAGCACGTACAATTAGTCTCGTCTGAGGCGTCCCCACAATGAACGGTGCCTTTAAATAAGAGCAAATATTTACATCTAAACTGTAACAATCAATACAAATTTCACTATTATACCATCGCATTTGTGACGGCTTTTCACACAAGTTCCATCCTTACAACGAAATCCTCCACAGTCTGGCAAATCTAACAAAGTCAAGATCTTCATTAGATTATAACCAAAATGGCATCGTTAACTAGCTTACCGGACTTAAGTTCCAGAGTTAGCCCACTGCCTTCTGTCGTATCGGCAGCCCTGTAAGAACGACCGGCAGTTGTTGCTGTAGGGCACAATTTTTCATTCGCCGAGGAGGAGACTAACCTGGTGAGAAGAATGATGACACAAACGATAAGCGTGGTAACAAAAACCCACCACGCAACTTTCTTGGCAAAGTCGAGCTTCTTCTGATAACTGTAGGCTAGGTTGGGGTCAATAATTTCCGTATTATAGCCCGGTGTCCACGTACGGCGAAAATATACGCAAAACCCCATTGTAAATACAAACTAACTAACAGTACCACCCCGATATGATTAAAGTTTATTCGCCCAATTCAGAAGTGATTAATTGTACTTTACTTTTGATCCTTATCTTTTCGACAAACACTTATGCATTTTTTAGACATTTATTATTTAGTCGTTTTTTTTAGACCAAATCCAGCATTCGTCCTGATATGCTCCGATGCTGGAGAACTGGACAGAGGGGCAGAGTAAAAATGTTAAATCTAGTCCTAGTCCAGCAGGCGAACGTGATACGTAAACAATTTCTATGCAAATCTCACCCTCGTGCATTTCAGGCAATCTCATTTTGAGAACTCCTATCTAATAGCATATCTTATTCCATGGAAAACTCCTCCAAATATGCAGCATGAAATGATTGAGAAAAAGTTAGAAGAAGTTTTAACCAGAATAAACCCGTGATTATCAAAATTGATGTAATTATCCGGTCTAGTGAAAAATGATGGTGCTATAAAAATGCAGTTGACTTTACGAGATATGTAGATTAGGTAATCAAAAGCAGTTTAAGTAATGTTGTCCTTTGAAGATTGAAGAGGATGTACTTGTCCAAATAAGTTACATACACATCAAAATGCAAATTAAAAGCTTGTGAGAGTTGGCATGCAATTTTTTCACGACATGAATAAAATGACACGAGATGGAAACTGGGCGTTGAAGGGAGCCGCGTGGCCTATTTACGCCGGCGCCGTGGTCGATGGGAATTGCCTTGTTGAAAAAATGATTAAGTCTTAACGATCTAAATTTACTTATGATGTACCTCGATATCTTGATAAGCTCATGTGTAACTCATGATGTGTTTGCTATATGTATTTATCTTGTGGATAAATTGTACTTATTTTTGCAAGCTTTTGCAAATTTTGTTTTGTGAATACCTATATTTATTTGTGTGCTTATTCTTTCTACCTTCCTGTTTTGTGCTATTTAGTAATTAAATAAAGATTTATAAAATTAAACAGATACTTTTTGATGATAGGAAATGAAATGCAGTCTTCTCCTCCTTGGTTCAGGAGATAATTCAGGAAATAATTCGATTCAACTCTCAACTTTTCCACTGGGTCCTTAAAACTTCGATATTAATGAATTAAGATGTTTAAGACAGCACTATTTATCATGCCGTTCGCATAATAAATAAAGTTTAAAACTTGCATTATATTACAATTTTAGCTATGTTACTTTACGGCAATTCCTATATTATGTATGTGCCCTTACTGAATTATATTAGCTAGCTTGCATTGCATTATATTTAAAATCTTTATTCAAGTGTCATTCCGAATTCATCACATACATTGAAATTTGAATAAGTTCAACTACAATGTTCTACCTTTGACACTTTTATTCGGGCGATGACCCCAACTCCTCCCCTTCCTTCGCTACGCGGCGAACAAGCATAAACTCTTGGTGCCCATTATCAATGAGATCAGGATACAAGGCTGGAGGGAAGATGACTTCGTAGTTGTTCATGTTGTGCAGGTCGCCGGGGTAATCGTGAGTAGTCCAGGCAGAGAATTGAGGGATGCAAGATCTGAAGGCCTTGTAAAGCTCGGCAACCCTATTGCGCTCCAGGTCGATAGTGTTCCGAAGGTCTTCGATGTGCTCGTTGTACGCGGGTTCAGTATCTTTAATCGCTTTTTGCAACATGTCCTTCTCCTGGAGGAGCCGAGCATTATCCGCAACCAGACTTACATTTTTCTCGCATAACTCTCGATACTCCTTGAGCAGCTGGAAAAGTAGTAGAAATCAAGTTAATTATGAGCGTAATATCATATTCTATCATAATAAATAGTTCCTCCCATTTTCATAAGTAAAAGCAAGATCACTGATCTTATCTTATATCGTAGATCCGATAAAATGTGCTTACCTCCTGGGCTCGTTCGTTGGATGATTCCTTGGACGACTGACGACCATCCTGGTTGACTTCGATTTTATCCACTATTGAATTTAAAAACACGTGATAATTAAGTTAAACAGTATTTTAATTTTGTAATAGAAGTTAAAAACAAAGTATGTGTACATAAATTGTGTCGCACAATTTTATAATTAAAAAACTTTGTAAATTCATTTAATTACAATCCTACGAGACTTACTTGTGTCCTGCCTTCCTCAACTTCTTACACTGCTTTCGAAATGATATTTCCACCGGTTTTTCAAGAAAAAAACTAAGATTTTCGAACTATTTGTAATTATCTCTAGCTGCAAAAAAATCTCTGCTCTGCTGCTGGCTGAATGAACGAGTAAAAAATTTTGATTGATTGCTTGCTGCTCAAATTCTACATATTTTCTCGGAAGGTGGCCCTGAAGGCTCTGTTGGCTGGTGTGAACCAGTTAAAACCTCAAATGTAATACTCGTAAAAATTAATTGTAGAAAAATTCATTGCAAATCTTGAAATAGAAATGGGCACTCATACATAGCATTTTTTCGGAATATTTTACAAACTATTTTTTGTGTCAAAAATTTTGACATTTACCTCAAGCAGAGATAAGTTTTCCTGTATTTTTATACAATGGGTCCTCATGCCATGATTAGCATATTTTAGTTAATTGTCACCCTGTTAAGAAAAGAATTGTATGTGGTGAGAGTTTAAAGAAGGTTAATTTTTATAAACCAGAAAGAACCAGAAGCTAGGTAATCTTAAAATACTTTATTTAAATAATAATATGCTTCACAGGGTTCACTATACTGGACACATACATAGTTATAGCATATAGTTATCTGAAATACTATATAATATATAAATGGCATATTATGCTATTATTTATTGCATTAAAAAAATTAGTCTTAAACCTAGAAATTGGAATGTATTTCGCTGCTCACAAATAGAAGAGGAGATTTGTCAATTTCTCGTGAGCAGGGCTCAGGAGGGACATTCCAGTGAGATATGCTAATTTATGGGCATACTGACAAACGGAAGGCACGGAAACAGTGCCAGACCAGTTGTAGTACATGTGACACAGTTTGTAGCTGAAGATCTGCATTTGCTTTGGAGTTAGGGAGGGGTGGTCTAGGATAATGTTGTACGAAGTCGGCGACACGGTTCCCTGCCGGGCGAGTTGAGACACGAGGTAAAAGTCGTATCTGGTGGTGAAAGTTGGAGAAAGTTATAGTTTTAACTCATGTTATTGTAACGATTACAAAGCAGATTTGCTTACCTTTCCGGAAGTGTGATCACATCGTCCACCACTGTGCCAGGCGGAGGATTGTTGTACGTCGGCGGCCTGTTGCCCCCTCCCGGAATAGCTTCGAAAAAGCGAGCTGAAGAAAAAGAAAATTTGCCAATTCATATAAGATTCAAGTATTGATTAAACTCTTTATAGTGAACTTGATTTACCGCTTATTCGCTTTGAGACCACGATAAATGACAATTTTGGGGGTTCAAGTCCAGCTTCTGTATAGATGTGTCCTATTGTAGCCTTCAAAACAGAAGTCACATGTCAGACTCTACGAAGTGAAAGTAGATCCTACAATTATATTTTGGTTACCTCGATATCGGCAACTTCAGTATCCGCAACCTGTCCAAGCTGACCTTCTCCGACCCCTGCAAAAGGAACAGATCATTATTTTAAGATTAGAATCAAAATCTAAGAAAGTATTGTTTAAATAGTTTAAACCAACCGTCACGATAAAACATAATCCGTGAAGGTAGCTTCAGATTGAACTCTCGATATCGCTGTAGAATAACTAAAAAAATTGATGAACGTACTATTAAAGGGGGAAATATTAATTTATTAATTAACTTAATGATTTGCAATACCTTTCAAATCCTGCCCCATGGATTTACTCAACTCTTGTTTCTGCTTCGTTTGAACAATGGAGGTGTATCGAGTCAATGTGGAGTTCAAACTTGCGACCATCGCCCCCACCAAGGTCTTCTTGTCAGCAGGACCACCGGAATGGTAGACATCGTATCCAACAACCATCAAGTTCGCTTTCTGATAATATTGAAAGGTACAATAAATTAATTTGATAACCAAGGAAATTAGTATAAATCTCACCCCGAGCGGATTGCTACAGCCCCACGGTTCTCCTCCCTAAATTAGGCCAGGATTGTAATTTAAGAAACTTAAATCAAACATTAATTAACGAACTTATTTTATGTCAAACTTTACCTGCTTAGCAATCATCTGAATTGCAATTTTAGTGCAAACACTCATGTTGGCTTTTTGCACATTCTTGGACAAGCAACATTGAGACGAAACTTGAATCCAATTAAAATCTTTTAGTCCTTGGATGGACACTCGCTATAAATAATTCTTAACCAACCTCCATAATCTACAGCACATCTCTTCTTAACAGCGGCATATAAGTTGGCTTGTGGACTTGGAAGCACTATGAAAATCATGTCGATCACCCCTTTGAAATGTGACATTACCTCATCAATGGCTTGTTCAAACGCTCGTGCATTTGATCCAGCAACAATTTTCCTGAAATTAAAACAAATTTTTATAACATTCCCAGCATCAAAACATTTTATTCGTATTATTAAATTACTTGAATGGTCGGGAGATTTGGTAACCTAACGGATTCCCGACTTTCTGCAGTGTGGAAATCATGTTATCAACAGCAGCAGCATCTCTGGACGACACCAAAACCGCCCAGTTAATGCAGGGCACGGCGATGAAAACCTTTCTTGCTGTAACCAGAAGAGACTTGCATGTTTAGTCAGATTTTTAACAAAATATATATTCCTAAATTAAAATAGAAAATTACATCGAAAAGCATTCGTCCAGTCTGCAGGTTTGCTTTCGTCCAAAAAGTCTTGATTTTGCCCAAACATTATTCGTTCTGGGGGAAGTACTCTACCGTTGATTTTGACCATGTCATTCGCCGGGACTCGAATTCCCCATTGGTCCGCCATGGTTGCACGGATTTCTGGATTATCTACAATCCGTTTCATGAAGGTCTGGATCTGATCGACCCGTTTATAAGGATCCACAATTAGGTGACTCTTGAGGTCACGCATCAGTTGAAAATTATTCCTCATGTCGTCCGTAAGTCCGGTCATAACACAAAGTTCGGGAACGAGTAACTTGGGCTCCGTGTCCCCCCGACGGATGTCTCTTTTCAAAGGAGGGGAGACCAGCAAAGGCTGAGTGAAATTTGTAATCTTGATCCCATATTTTTTCTCGTAATAGTCTACAAAAGTTATCTCTCCATCTCTTGTGGTGAAAGTGTTTGTAACCTTCTTTCCCCAATCCACTTCGGAGATTCGGTATGTTTTTCGATTGAACTCAGTCATTACAATCGTTCCTACAATCATTTGTTCCACCAATGCTTGAACGTTTGACCCAGGTGCTGATGCTTTTTTGATATTCTGCATCATTTGTAAGACAGTGTCTGATCGGATGACTTTGCTGACCATTTCCACATTCATCATGAGGCTGTTTTCAAACGGGCGGAGCACTGTTTTATACCTGCAAAGAGTTATTCCAGAATTTAAAAAAAAAGTTACTTATTAAGAAAACTCATATGTAAAGCCAACAAAAATTGTATACCCGGGCCAGACGGTCAGACGGTAGTTGGACATTGTGTGTACGAGAGTAGGGTCGTAGTAGAAACGACCAAACAAAGTTAAATCAAGTTTCTCCAAAATTACTCTGGTGACAATGTTGTAGAAATGAATCATGTCGGCCTGCATGCGTAATGAGAGATCAAAATGTCACGTCGTAAATCAAATCTATCTCGTTTTTTGTTTGCATATATGAAATTACTTACATCATTCCATGGAATATCCTTCACGATTTTGAAGGTTACCGTGTGTGGGATATCAATCCCTTTATCGGAATAGACTGCCGAAGTTATGGTCGGATCTGCTGGTAATGCCAGGGTGGAAAATAGCATATGACCACCATCATAAATGTAGCCGGATGAAGAAAACATGTCTTTTAGTTGTCTGATTAAAACTTTCCTGATGCGTTTTGAGTCTTGGTCTAGATTTCATACAAAAATAAGCATGCACATTCAAAATTTGAACTGAAATATTTAGTTGTACAATTTCTATCTTAAAAAGCTACCTGGCTCAAAATCAATTCTGTACTGGTTTAATCGCCATTGCTCCATTTTTCGTAGCTGAATAGTGAAATAGTTAGCCGCTAGTGAAATGGCACGACCTCCGTCTCCTTTCTTAGAAATGATGTGCTCTGGTCTCTATTAATGCATACATTTATTACTCATTGATGTATTTTTACATATTTCAAAGTCTGTATCATACCGTTTCCAAATAGTCGCGCGCCCTTCGAAAGTCCGTCCACCTCTTTTCTTGCTCATCCTTTATAAATCGGGCATCCGGAGGGGCCTGTGACACTCTGGATGTCTCTTCTTGTATGCCAACGTGTGCCATTCTTTCCTCAACTCCAGGTCCAGTTGTAGGACCACTAGGACCAGATCCAGGTGCAGGAGCTTCGCCAGGCATCCTTGCCCTCCCCCGAGCCCTTCCTCTACCAGGTTTCAGAATTTTATCCTCCATTTTTAGGGAAAAGACTTTCTCTTAGATCTGACTGGACCGTGAGACGCAATACTTTTTGGAAAATAATCCACCCAAGTCAACAGTTTAGAGCAGAATGAAAGACTCCAAGATATCGTGGTACAATTTACTGAAAGGGTTTGAGCAAGAAGAGTGAGTTAATAAACCGATTCAAACGAAATGTAGTAATTGGGTGAAACCACATGGGATATTCATACCGTACGGCGTCTTCCGTTAATTAACGTTTAAAATACTCGAAACTAAAAACTAACCATTTTCTTACTTTGACCTCGTCTACACGGTGACGGGGACGTTCGTCGAGAAGATGGCGATGTGACCATTGACCTCATCCCCGTGGCGCCGTGACCTTATAACCTACTTCTTAAAAAATTATATATACCCAAAAACAAAGTTAATTCGTTCAAGACTTATTTTACCTACAGACAGACGGACGGACGGACGGATGGACAAAGTCTTCACATAATACGGTTTCACCCTATTATAAATTTTACTGCGCATTACGCATATCAATTGAATACTTCTGTATTCAATCAAGAGACTTTGAGTATCTCTCGCATCCTATTAATTCAAACTAATGAAAATCTCATTTCATAAATATCAATACACTGTCCACATTCCGCATTTAAATAACGTTTAGATCGGGTTAGTATCAAAAATATTTCCGAGAAGTCCGCAGTTGGACAATCAGACTGCGTTGTGAGCACGTCTGCAACTTAATCTCAACTTGAGATTCTCAAGCCACCTCTATTTACCTAATAGGAAATGCATGATTAAAGTTTTCCAGTCTGAAGATTTACACTTTTCATGCAATTGGAGGCAAACGAGGACAAACTGGTGTTTACATATGTAGCGTTATGCTCTCTCTCGCCCCATATAATTTCATGCAGTTCAAATATTATGACACGTTGTCCCACAACCTCATCTCGTAAATAATTAGACGGACATGTAATTAATGATAACATCTGTGCCACCATCGTCTACAATGGAAAGAAAAGGATTCATGAGTGTTTTGTACTCGATCATGCTCCATTGTTGGTCGGAGTAATTACGAAACGGCTTCCGTTCAGCTACTGTTCATATTTTTCAGACTCCACAATTCCCATCTTAATAGTCATCCTCGTGTCTTCACAGACACATGCACAAGTCCAACGCTTTTAATTTGAGCTTATGCAATGCGTTCATATTATGTACATACATATCTGAAGCCCCAAAGATGAGGTTTGTATGCTGTCGTGTAATGGCACATATGTAGGTGCACGAGCAAATGCGACTGCCTGGTCGTAATAAACGGATTTTAGTGACTAATTATGTTTCGGTGTTGTTTCATGTGCAACCCGTAAAATTGCTGTCTCCTTGTCTGCCTTCCACCTTTCTCGGTTTAATTGTCCCATGGGTGATGCTTTCCGTCACATCGCATCAACTACTTCTTGGCATCCGCTCCTTTCTCTCTTCCTGACGTTGCACCCAAAATATCCGTCCACATTTGCTGCGTAAAGAGAGCAAATCCGTTGTTTGGTGGGACGGCATTCCAATCTTATCATGGTGCTTAATAACCATCTCATGAAAAAATAACACTGGCAGGCAACTAAATGTCATTGCTCGCTCTTGTCTAACTGTCACACCACAAAGAGCAGCTTAATTCTGGAAAATTTGTAACTTGTGCGGATCCGAAGGGATGATGGGAGGAGGACCTCCTTAGTTCAGTTTCAGTTCATATATTGTACAGATTTCACCATATATTGTACTTGTTGCCCTTATGCCAGATTTATTCTGTGTAATGAGATGCTTGTGCTGGTACTAGTGTTGAATAAGATTTAAATCGTTGGTTAAATCAGCATGCTGATACTCGACCATCTTTGATATCTACAAGACAAACCACTGATAATAAGCAAGTAAAGATGTAGCCTTTTGTTTAGTTGGTTATAAAAATTACAATTAAAGTGTATACTACATATTCATCACATTTTTCCTGGCTCATCTCGCATCTGAAATTGATTGTATTGATAATACAATATGCTATATTTTCCAAAAGAACAGCACGGTTACGGTTGAACTCAAAGGGGTTGATGACTTTAAAGACGGAGAAAGTGTCATGATTTTTTCTGGACTATTTATAAATATGTATGTATGTTTAGATAATCCCACATGATGCTTTTTGTCACCTTACTTGCTTGCTTCCTATTCCATGCCTAAATTATTTATATAAATATTTATACATTTATAAGACTTCCTTCTCTAAAATAATCTAAAAACAAGTATGAATAGAAATTCAGAAAATTCAGGTTAGCAGATAAGGACCAGATTACTCCTACAACTGGGAGAATACGACTCGGGTAAGCGTGATGTGGGGAACATGACACGTGTTAAGTTTCCGGCAGCAGAGAAAGGTTGAAGGTTAATAAAAAAGGAAAGCTTGTTGGAACAAGAGCAATGTAATTTAATACTCTAAAGTTATTAAGCCGACAAAATGTATAATTGTGACTCGATACTTGTTTGCACCACGGGAAAAATGCATACAGAGACAAGCAGTCTCGAAAAACTTGAACATAAAGAAATTCTCTATCCTTGTTGGCAACCTTGAAATTTTTCTATTTTATTCGTGGATTTCCTGTTGCTCAAATAAAAGATTTCATATTTTTCATACAATTCGAAAATAAAACCTTTCTTAACTTTACGCATTTATAGATCTATTTATTTTAAGTCAAGTCACTGATTAAGCAGGACACGATTATTATTATGCTATGCTACATACCTACTTGTTAACGTAAAATTATACTTTTTTTATATGTATTACTAATTTTAGACATTGTATTACATTTCTCACTTATGTATGAGTACATCAAAACATGTGGATTCATTTATTGCTGAGAAATTTTATCTGTTTGTCGCATCCGAAAAAGAGGATCAGCATTCCCCTATGCAGATTTACTGTCTATTTAATTAGACAACCCACATCAAGGCCAGATTGTTTATTATGATGACATGACTAAGACTGGAGTTGAATTCTTGGAGAGTGCAGACATATTTATGTGCATATTATTTATATTTATGTTGTGAAACTATTAAGCTTTATACAATAGTCAATGCGCAGTATTTCAAGGTATGCCATACTAAACTTAAGTAATTAAGTATGCACTTCATTTGCTCCTTCAAACGGAATAAATGTATCGCATAATAGTCAATAATTTTCTAAATAAAACTGAAATTCAGCAAATGCCTGGGTTTGCATTATTATACTCTGACATTTTAGTACCTTACATAACCAATAAGCACGCCATAAACGACCCTAGCAGCTCAACCCGAGAATTCCGCGTGTTAAATTGGTGTAAAATCGTGTGCATTAGGTGTCCGTGTCACACTGGTGTAACTTTTTTGGTAATACTCGTGTTTTTCTCAGCTACAAAATACCAAAATCTAAACAATTCATGAAACACGTGTATATACCACATTAAAACACGAGTATCGAATACGTGTATTTTTAGCGTCGACTTTGAATAAATACTCGTGATTTACACGTTGTAAATTGGTGTATTCTTACGATGACCCAATGCATCTGTCGCGGCTAAACTTAATAAATGCAGGATTACTAACATGTCATTAAAATGGAATTCATTTTTTATTTAAGTTAAATATTTCTAAAAATGAAAAAATCTCGAAATAGACAAATACAAAGAAACATAAGCGGTGTCATAAGTGATTATAATTTAGTTGTTAAAACTCTGCACCCACCAATATCGCCAGACTTTGCTGACCATCCGGCGACTGAGGATAAAGTTTCATCGTTGGTCGTAGTTGACAATGAAGATCAAGTTGAAAGTGACAGTGATTTTAGCGTAGCGTCACCGTTAAGTGATAACACAGGTGAAAGTGACGAAAGTGATGGTGAAGCAGTTACTGATTTTAAGGCTGAATTAAGAAGTTGGACAATAACTCACAACGCCACCGCGACCGCAACGACTGATTTGTTAAAACTTCTGCATCGTCATCATTGTTTCAAATATTTACCCCTCGATTGCAGGACGCTACTTCAAACTACAAGGACAACAACTATTAGGATTCAAGATTTAGATCATTGGGAAGCAACCGAATTTCGCCAATTCATCTTATACACGGGACCAGTAGTTTTGAAACAGACAATTTTGAAACCATTATATCAACATTTTCTTTCCCTTCATGTTGCAATAACAATTCTGGCTGATAAAACACTTCATGTCACTCATAATAATTATGCGAATGAGTTGCTACACTATTTTGTTAAGTATTTTGATATGCTTTATGGCCGTGAAAACATGTCATTTAATGTCCACGGACTTTTGCACTTAGCGAATGATTGCATTAATCACGGTCAACTTGACAAATTTAGTGCCTTTAAATTCGAAAATAAACTGCAAGAAATTAAAAAGCTGGTGCGATCTACGAATTGCCCCTTGCAGCAGGTGCACAGAAGACTGCTAGAGAGGGAAGACCAAACCCACCACCACGTCAACTTCACTCCACTCCATCCATTTCTCTACTCTGCCTGGTCTTATCATAACTCTCACTTTGATATTAATTGCTCCGTTTTTTACAAGAAATTTCAACACCAGGTGTTTAAATTAAATGCTGGAGGACCTGGTGATAGTGCTTGTGAGATAGGCGACGGCGCTGTTATTATTATAAATACTTTTCTACAGGGAGAGACAGGAGAATTTTTCCTTGGACGACGATTTCAAAACAAAATTAATTTTTACAAAACTCCTTGTGAATCATCTACCATAAATATTTATTTATTATCAAGACTTGGACCAGTCGAGTGCATTAAAATTTCTGAAATCGTCAAAAAAGTGATTTTGTTGCCGTACGGTGAAGAATATTTTGGTGCGCCCCTTATTCATTTATCTGAATCATCATGAGCGAACATTTTGTGCTACTCAAATTTTTGGAGACGGAGGAAATTGAAGTAGTCACTAGTGCGTGGTTATGTAAAAATAATACTCAGTGCGTGTGGCCCAATTACAAAAATCCTAGCAGAATTGTGAAAGCTGTTGGCCTACATATGCCCCCCGAGTCAAACTGGTCAACCCATGATGTCAAGCTACTTGGTGGTGGACACAAATTTGGTGAGCTATTAAAGCTTTCAAGTTTCATTTAATATTGATTAATTCTTTTTTATTGAGACTTTTTTTATTACGCAGTCACTTATCATGAGGCGGTGAAGAAGCTTCCCAAAGTAATGGACCAGTCCGACGCAGAGGTTGGGAGTGGCGATGGTAAAATTCGAATTCGTCAAGAGGCGCCCAATACATATGAGAGCTCGGAAAGTGAAGGGGATGACTGTCACTCTACACTGCCACCGCCTCCTGCGCCTAATGATAACTTAAGTAAGAACCGTTATGAGATAATAATTAATAATAATTACAGAATTGTTTCATATTAGGTGACTGTATATTTACACATGCCATTAATTATTTTAAAATAATGTTTCAGTGAAAAATGTGAAGTCACTCTTGATTACGCCGGCAGCTAAGAAAGTCACAACTAAAGGACAATCAATTCCTAAAATAAAGCCCAGTAAAATTAAAGAGTCCAGTAAGATCCCGTTTAAATTGTGTTTAGGTGGGTTACACTGGCAAAGTTTATTTCTCAGCATTTATTTACCTTCCATTAATTAATAATGCTATTACGTTTCAGTTACGGAAAACGGATCATCTTTGCCCGGAGTATCAGAAACTGGAAATCCGGAACCGGACATGGATATTCCTGGATGTTCAGCTTCCACCGAAATGGTTCACTTCCTCGGCGTTATGAATGAAAACGAGCCAGTAACTGCACCACCAGTTCCAGAGGGAGACGCAACAAATACATCCCAGTCCTCATGTGAAGACGAAATTTCACTTTCTGGTAGGGAAGTAGCAATAAAAATTTCTGCATAGTTAGCTAACACTGTCTTTGTTTGCGCAGGAAATCAATTTCAGAGTTGGGTGGTCAGAAATGTGGCCATTTTAAAAGCGCAAAATCGTAACATCCAGGAGACACTTGACGCGATATTGCTTAACTTAGATGGAAAGAGAAAGCCGCAAGATGAAGTTCGGCACGAAATTCCACTGAAGAATATGGTCGATGTTAGTAATGCTGCTAATTTTTATGCAGTCCCAAGTAACCGGGAATCACTGGTAAATAATCCTAATCCATTCGTTGCGTCTAAAAATATGTAATGTACAGTTAAATAATTTGCACAATCTAAATGCTAAATTTCAGATTGTAAAATTAACTCAGAGAAAAGTAAGCAATATCGGAAGTTGCACACGCCGGGTGTTATCAAGACTTTGTGCGGACGAATTGATGCAGCATTACAACTGGATTGGGTCCAGGGGTAGCAAAATCGCGTTTTGTGATGCGTGGATGAGACACATTGTATTTGGTAAATTTTCTCTGACTAAATATACACAAAATTTTAGTTTAATGGAAGTATATTTTTTTTAGATGCGGTTCGTGCGAGTTTACCATTAAAGCTTGTCACCGATGACGAGATGGAAACCACAATTAAAGAATATTTGAAAGGTGCACCTAAAAGATTGAAGAAGAATAATCCGAAGTAACTACACATTACATAGTTATGTTAAATCTAAACTTAATAATTCATTGATAATATATTTAAATAGTGATGGAACACTCCCAAGGGGCGACTCTGAACCCGATGATCAACCAAATGAGTAATTCTTGGACTATTGGATTGTTTTGTTATTTATTTTAATCATAAAGCAATTTAAGTTAAAATAAAGCTGATTTATATAATTAAAATGGTGTAATTGTTGGGTTTATTTAGCATAAAATACGTGTATGGAGAATTTGCAACCACGAAAATTACACGAGATAGTATCTAATTTTATACGTGAATTAAACGAGTTTTCCACGTGTTAGTTTATGGTTTCGTTACGTTTATAACGCGAGTTTTAAACGAGTTTTACACCCCAATTTGGCGACAATTACCCCCAAAATTCACCAACTTTTACACCAAATCAACACGAGTTTATCACGAGATTCGGTGTCCGAAAATAGGTGTTTTTCCCGTGTAATTCTCGAGTTTGTGCTACTAGGGGAGTATATACTCGTATGTACATAAGTACATGTGCATGTATAATATTGCATTGCGGTCGGTATGTATTTGGTGTTGGTTACGAATATGACACGACCACCCAAACGGTGCAACTGAGAAATTATTACGCCCCATTGGTTGACAATTGACATTTCGAAAAGAGTATTGAATAAGTTTTCTTAAGAACTGAAAAGATCCTTTATTTACGCACTTTAACAACTTGTACAACACACAAACGGTGCAGTGAGTGAGAGTCAATTGAGCAGAAAGATGAGGAAAGTTGTCCAATATAACCTTTATATCTTCAAACTTACTACCAATAAGTTGATCCATTCGTACATGCTGTACATATTAGTATCTATGTATCTACATACATGTGTACATGCATTAGTTAGTTCTCAACAAGCATGTTGTTAGATTCTAAATCAATCCTGTTTTACAAGAGAGTTATCATAATCCGAGCAATGTGTTAACAGATTTTGACTCATTGGGTCTAACTCATCCGCGTGCTCGTCTCCAAAGCTGGTCCCAAATTTTATTAAAACTTAGAGCCCCTCTTCTTGTAAATGCTTCTTGTGGATGAATGTACATAAGTACATATTCTGATCGTTAAATGAGCAATAATGACGCGATGTACTTATTTGAGGTGGTCTCGCAAATATACCCCGAGTACAAAGCACAATGAAGTATTTTGTATACCTGATCAGGTTCGGGTCAAACCAAAATGCAGACTTTAAAGACATGAGGGTGAGGGCATAAGATTAGTTCTACTTCGCAGTGTATTTTACTGTATACATTTTATCCTTTACTTTACAAGTACCTCCAACGACTAGGCTCTCTTTTTGAAGAAATGTTGTACATCTTGTTGTCTTCCTTATAACATATTTTTCAGTCAACACTAATGTTTTCATGGTTTTCCAAATCTTATGATTTGTGGGTATGGAGGGCTCCCAGTTTCTAAATGAACATTTTTGGAAAACCTTTATGACAGTCAAGTGGGTGGGATATGTGTGCGTATAGACGATGGGCGACATGAGTGATGGCAAAAATTCATGGTCCGTGGTTGTGCTCGGATTCCAGGCGTTCAGGGGATATGCCATCTGAATAATATTGCACTAGTCAAGGACAACTGCAGACAGTTTCATTTGATAATCATAATATTTTGTTGATAAATGTATGGAATTAAGCTTTTAAGTTGTACTTAATTAAACCATGTCATTTACATAGTTATCAATTTGTCAATTCTAAAAGAACTGTCCCAATCAGGACAATATTTTTGTCAGACTGAGGAGATCGGTTTAAAATATAGGCGTATATGCATATCTACCTATAGATAAGTGTAGATTGTTGGCAGAAAACATTTTCTAGCATGGAGGAGCATGAAAAATTCCGAATCTGTAAAAACCGTATGCAGTGAAAGAAGCAAAGAAATAATTCCAACCCACTGCCAAATGAAAGATGCCAAGGAATTGAAGCAACACAAGCTAATCCATACTTTTATCTATTTTGCCTCTGCTTAGTAAATATTAAATCCAGGAAAGGAGGCCGACTCACAGCCCATTGTTCGCAGGCAGCCTTAAGAGTGCCGAAGATACATATTCTGCTTTGTCAGTGGGATTGAATACAATTTCTATTCAAATCTGAGACAAGCGACTGAATAAATATTTACTGATTTCACCGTAGTTTTTGTAATACAAATTATCGGCAAGGCTTTTATTCACTCTCATCGCAGCGACGCGGTATTTGTTATCAATATTTTTATTCCAGGACAAGCCCTATGATCATTCCAATCAGGTTTATGTGTGTCACGCCATAATCATTTGTGCTATGCAGAATTCGTAAAATCTCAAGTTTCATACGTAATATCTTCCAGTCGTCGTTGGTAAGATTTAATTTAAAATCTAATCACATATAATTGTTGCTCCATCCCAACTTTACATTTGATGATTATAATTTATTCGTGACGTACCCCACTGTTTGCGTAATGTTCTTTAAGTTGGAAATTGTCATCTACAGCAAGTTGTAAGTATCAGCAGTTTGCCAAATGTAATTAAGATAATGCACAAAAGATAAAGATTTGCAATTTATTGAAAAACGCATTGCAAGAAACTTGTCAACAAGTGAGAGCAGCAATCTTTTTTGTTCTCGTTGTCATCGTCATCATCATCATTTTGTACGTACTATTTTGTGATTGTATATTAATATATCAAGCTTGGTTGAAGTTGATGGTAGAATTGTTACATGGCGTCATACACATAAATATTCTATCAGAGCATTTTCAAAGGAAAATGAGTGGAAATTAATGTCAGCGCAATCCAAGAGGAGGGGTGTCCCGTGGTCCGAAAAATTAAGTAAATTTTCTGAATGTCTCCAGTTCAATCCAATCTCGTCTGCATTTGTGGACCACAAAAGGGTTTTGGGAGTTTGATTGCATTTCAAACCAATTTGCTCCTCAGCTACTGGCCTACCCACTCACCATTTTTTACCTGGGACCAATTTTTATTCTGTATTTCAGTAAAGAATATCATGCACAAAGCACAATGGACAGATGAGGTTGTGCTTTGGTGCGATGGGATTTTAAAAAGGCTGCCACTTGTTCTTCGTGTATCTATGTGTTATGTAGGTGGTGATGCAGATATAGCGGTGATGGAAGGATACCATCTCCATCTTCACAGGTTTTGAGGGAGGATGACATCAATACCTCCATTGTCCATGCCCGTGTACTTTTATACCAGCAGCAGCCGAGTCTGGAGAGAATAATTATCCACAATCATGTGAGACTGAAATCATCATAAATTCCACTTTTTTGTTAATTTTATTCTCATTAGATCCGCATGATCTCCGGATTTGGGATAATGCCCGTGTCCGTTTCCTTATTCTTTTATCCAGTCAGGTCCAGTCACTAAGTCGCCTCTTCTTTCTCCTCCTGACTCCTCATTTTAATATCGCTCCAGGATCATTTCATCCATAACCACCAAAAATCACTATCGTCCAACCATTACATATACATAATATCGTCCCTCTCGTCACATAGTTCTAGTCCAGCAGCCGCATTAGAAGGTTATGCTACTGAATTGCTACAACAGACAACACAAATCATGTTAATGTTTCAATTTATTTTAAATTTGAATTTTTAATGAGGTTGAAACCTTCACAAGATTCTAGTATACACTTTGAGATTCACTCTGACAGGGCTGATCCTGAGTTTGGGTGATTTTATTCAACATTTTAAGGAATAACCAGAGAAAAGTACACGTACTTTCTTTCTTTTTTAATAGGGTTAAAAATTTAGTTTAAGAAACTCTAAAAATGCCGAAAGCAAAGGGTTAAGTTAACTTATCCATCACTTTAACATCCATATCTCCTCCCATCATCCCACCCTGTTTATTCTGATTCCTCATCGCATTCACTTCTTCACCACCGACATGACATTGACACGAACAAACTGCTGCCTCTCTCCTAGACAGATATCCATACCGACTACGCCATGGCTTCTGCGGGCTGTCTCTCAAAATTGTGTTACAGATGCATGTAAAAAGAAGCCATTTTCGAAAATAAACCATTCATGTCAACTTTTGAGACTTTGGGCACGACAACCGTGTCAATCTTCTGCCGAGACTGCTGGAATTGTGTGAATATTCATAAATATGCCATGTTTTATTTCACGAGGAGTGAACAATTCCCAGTGGATCATGAATACATTTGGCATCTAATTTTATACGCAACAAGTAGAAATTATATTTAAATAATATGTTCTATTAAGTTAAAAGAGAGACTTATAAATAACTAGATATGTAAACTAGCATGTAAAGGAAGGTGCAAATATATACTCCAGTTACCGTAAGTACTAAAATAAAATGACGAAACCAGATCTGCCGGTATTCTTTTTCATTGTCATTTTAAAGTGAAGTAGAGCACTTCCAATTTAGGAATATTAATTAACTCACACCACACATTGGTGGTCACAACTATTCAGGATGCATACCTTGCCTTGTTTTTCTTCATAGTTTACGGTGAAATGCTGACACATCATGACGATTAATCCGGGTAATTGCCACACGAAAAGGGATATTCTTTACGTTGGTCTAAAATTGCAATTTCATCCGCTGTCGCTTAAAATGTCCCCGAGCTGCTGCTAGTTGAGCAAGTGAGAGTATTAAATTGCAGTATTTTCACCCGATTTCTTGATACAAGAATCAACCCAGGATGAAGAGTGGTCGTGCATAATATGTGTAGCAGCCGTAAGTGAAAAACCAACTTGAGCTCTACCCGTACAAATTAAATAAGATGCAATTTGACAAATTTTGTTGTGCGAGTAATGTAACCCTCTGAAATTTACACCTTGTGCATATTGTTAGTTTACTCCAAGACTGCAAGTTGGCGTACAAAATGTAATGGGCATAGAGAATTAGCATGCAGAAATGCTTTAATCCATCCTTTTGCACTCATTTACTCGCCCTGGCGTCCCTAATCCCCTTGAAATCCCATTCTTTTCCTTTTAACAGTGCCACTGCTACCAGGCCTCGTATATGTAGTTACTACTTATCCACCTCCGTGTAAATCTCGCCTCCGATGATGATGATATAACGACGACGACATCATTAAAAGGCTGCTCACTACAATTTGTTGGGCTTGACTTTTTCCCACTCGGAACCTTCTCTCTAACATTATTTCGCCTGTTTAAGAACTTTAGCTCGACCTTTTGGGGGAGGGGGAGGGCGAAATTTGATTAAATAATGCTTAGCCTAACGTTGCAAATTATTTTTTCTTGATTTTCTCGTATTTATTTCAATTTTTTCGTCCAACAAGAGTAAGTGTCTTCCTCTTCCTTCATGTCACTTTTTCATCACAAATCCCGTATATTTGCATACGGGATATTTGTAATTGACACTCTGAGCATCATGAACATTTTTAAATACAATTTCTGACATCAAAATTTTATACATTTCAAAAACACTTGAAGTGCAACGTACAAATCATCCATTAAAGACGAGGTAACAGATGTGTGATAGGAGGGAGGATACTACATACTCGTACTAAAAAGGCCCCGTTTATTAATTTCGGCAGATTCTGGGGATCCCAATTTCTCTTGTCGATTTCAATTGTGGACTTCCAAGAGGCATTAAGAAGGGTTCATATATACACACGTACATAAATATATTTGTGTTCCTCTCCTCAATGTGTGTGGTGTGGGCAAAGGCCATAAATTTGACTTGGTCTGGTTTAGTGTAACAAATGGGTGGAGTGACATGTGTTTGGACTTTTTCAATTAGCCGTCTCATTTCCGACCCACGGTATTTTCACCCACTGCTAACTCAAGCATTTAGACTGTTTATTTCGAGTGGTTGAAGTAAATGTATTTGTACATAGGTATAACTTCTTCCCAATAATTTACCATCACGATCACTAAAACTTCGTCCCACTAAACTTGCAGCAATAATTCTAAAACCGGCAGCGCACCCTAAAATTAAACACAGCACGTGCGATTCTAACAATTGGAAGGTGTAAGTACGGAGATATTAAATTCTCGTAAAGGATGTAATTTATTAAAATAGACGCTCACAAAGTGCTAAACAATGTAATAAATTATTGTCAATTTTGAACAAGGTTCTCGAGGAGGAAAATATGAGTCATGAGGAAATATGTACATACGTATGAATGATGTATTACTGTATTTCTTTAATATTATAGTTGCGTCAGTTCATCAAGGAAAGTCGTTGCAATAATTTAGCGAATAATTGCAGGTTTGAAGATAATTTGCTGAGAATGATCTCAAAAATTTGACGGTCTCTTAATTGCGTCATCTTCCAAAATATTTGAAACAATCGTAAAGTATTTACAATTTTGAACTCTGGAAACTTGTAATCAAAATGTGTCAGTTAGCTGAGCTAACTTAGCTCAGAACAGCCATCATGATTTTTTCAACGGCATACGCATGTACATAAATACTGATGTACGTACATTAAGAAGACGTAAGACATGGCTGCTTATCATTGCTGTCAGACTTTGAGTTAGCAACAATGTTGTACGGCTTGCAACGATATGGAAGATGATGAGAAGCAGGGAGCGAGGGTAGATTTGATGGCTTGGTGGACGCGGATGGGTTGGCAGAGTGAAATCAGACGGTGAGAATTCTCACTTTTTAAAGGTGTGAGGGGAGGAGCTTCTGGATGAGATTAATGTTATCGACACGCTTTGATGCGACGTCATTTGCAGCTTCCTTTGCAAAAAACGAGACCTTGCCAATCCCATTTCACACCTCGCTCAACCGTGTCAACTCAGCCTGACTTTTCCCATTCTTCTGATGAAGGCTCATAGGCAATACGATGCTGTATTTAAACAGCATTATATTCCTCTCTTGCTTAAAGAATCATCATCATGATATCATCTGGGAGCATAAAATATCCAAAGTGTTGACAGAATTTGACCAGCATTGTTATCGCCTTTGTGCACAAACCTATGTATCAAGACTTTGATTGTTGGAAAATCTAAAAATTATTATCCGAGCTATTCTTATCAAATAATTTCATATTCTTTATTTAATTAATTAATGCTTCTAAACTACTACGCACTAGATTTATAGATAGTTCACGTCCGTACCAGTCAATTTCAATGTCATTACGTATTCTCTGGAATGTCGTAATTGTGACTCATTTTCTCATTTTTTCTCCCAACTTGACAATGACAGTGATACGTAAGAGGAGGGCTAAAATAAAGTCGTGTATTATTATATCACCGTTGGGTAGATATTCTCAAACCCCACGTGATTCTTGTCACCACCACATCTTTGTGTCATTCCTATTATCTCGAAAATAGTTGTCAGCCACATATCGAGTTAAAATGTTGAATGTGTGTGCATGATATTGGACCGAGTGCGCAAGATTGTTCAGTTATTTGACTGACCGCAACTTTTTTGTCACATTGTTCCTAGCGATATCCTCAAAGAAATTCTAAACAATTGGCGATAATCGACATTCACAAGATTGTTGTGGCTTTTAGCTGGTGGCCCTGAGCTTGGCTTACAAAATAATAAAATAACTTTTGAATTGTAAGTACATTTTCAAATGGGCTAGAGCAGCAGCAGCAATGAATGAAGGCGAGATGCTTAATATGTATGTAAGTAAGAAGAATTCTGGAAATGTGAGGGTGACAATTTTCCCCAAAACTGAAATCACCAAGCTAAAAAGTGCTACACTCGCGAGGCAAGAGAAGCATGAAAAGTCACACCAAAGTGCTGTCGTCTGCGAAATGAGAAGTACATGCAGCAGCACAAAGAGAATGGAACAATTGGAATTGGAGTAGGAACAATGGAGGGAGCTGAGCTGTTGAGTTTCTCTGCAGGAGAGTCGTAAAACACGGTCATACGGCACATTCAAGTTATTCAACACGACGCAACAGGTGGTCTCTGTCTGATATCCTTTTAGACGTCATTCCTCTGATACCAACCTCCTTTTATCCACTTTTTTCACCAAAAATGATGAAAAATCTGAATTCCACATTCGGTGTGAAGAGCATCAATGACAAACTTTTAGGACACAACAAGTACTATCAAAAGGTGCAAATAATTTGAATATGCCCAAAAATAAAGGTGTGTGCATAGCTTTCATTTAAATGCTGCAAGTAAAATAATACATCGCATCGCATCCAATTTTTTCCGAATGCACTTTACCTTTTTCATAGCTTCACACTTGCATACTTTTTGGTTGCACAATTTCAACGCTAAGTATAGACACATACTTACATATCCGCCGTAAAGAGGGTTACCAACCAACGTACTAAAACTAAAACTGTGCACATTTGACTTAATTATTTTGTGCATGCTTCATGTCCTACGAGAATTTGAAAGATTTGTCGCAATCGCAGCAAAGAGATTGCGATAAATTACAAGAATATGGGTCCAAATGTACACCTCACCTCACTCACCTCAAAAATTTCTACTACGACTCCTTTTGGAAATTGCATCTGCTCCGTTCTCATCGAAATGTTATGCGTCCACCAACGAAAAGTTAAGGCTACCTGCGCCACTACAGGCTGTAGATAAAACTATATCTTGTGCATATAAGAACATATAATTTAAAGTGGCTGACTGGCTGTGTTGTGCTATTCAGTGCTAGTGTTACGAAACGAAAGGATGCAAAGTATTCGACACGCTTGACAAGAGTCAGTTTTGTTCCTCCATCATTTTCTCTCTCATTCTATTCACAGCAACAAAATTCAAAAGCTGCTAAATTGTTGTAGGCAGAGATGAAGCAAAAAACTGGTGACTCCTGGTAACCAACAAAATATTCAACACGCACATTTTATTATAAACTACAATTTGTAATGAAATGAAATAAAATGCACCTCTCCGTCAATAATGGAGGTGGCTTCGAAAACATACGCTGCTTCCCTCATCTCCCAGCCTTTCATAAATCACCGCACGCTCACTTTCAGTTTCGAAAATCTCTCCAAATTCACAACTCGTGAATATTCAAGAATCGTTTGATTTACATTCAATGATGCAGATTGGATTTGAAATTAACTTGGTATTCCGTATGATTTTTTAAAAGTACGGTTAAACGATTGTTCCAACTTGTAAAGTTTTTTCCCTAATTTTTTATGGCATGTAAAGAAACGAGAAAAACTACGCGATAAAGTTCATAATCTTTACAGTAATTATTTTATTCAGTTGCGAGATTATTTTGGTTGTTAAAATTTCTTCCATTATAATCGAAATAGTTTAATAGACACGAAAATCGTATACATTAAGTTTATAATAACCACACAAATGTAGTCGTCATGTATGTAATATAAATATTTTATGTATGTACTTATCCAGCTATATTATCCAGCAGTTACAATTAACTACTTATAATTATAAGGCTATGTACTCACTACAATAATAATTGCTTGATGACGAAACATTACACATTTTAACACTGCAACGATGCATTTTAGTCGTATTCATAAGATTTGTAGCATTAAAGTTTCAATAACAACAAACAAACATAAAAGGGGTTATGTAAGACGAAACACAATAACTACGTACGTACAGCAGCAACAGTTTTACATACAAGGCAAGTCTCTTAAGGCAACCGTGTTTATAATCAAATCTTACTTTCTTAGCAGCAAATAACCCCACAGAAGAGTGAGTGAGTATATAAAGCTATTGAACATTTCTTGGGTATTTAATACTTGTGCCGTTTGCTAAATTAGATGAGTTGAGTACCTTTGTTGTCCTCCTCCTCGTTCGCTCTCAAACGAGTCCATTATGCTCTTTACACTAATTCTTCAATCATAGCACATAGGTTGCAGTTACGCAATGAACTACAACTAGATCTAGTTGGAAGAGTAAGTAGGTGTGCCTCCAGGTTATAAATTAGTAATTTTGGGTACTACATGAACAACGTGGCGGTTCTGGTGTTACCAACCGTAGTAGGCTTGATGTCGAGGGGGAACAGGACCCATGAGACCTGGTGGAGAGTAGTAGGACGAAGTGAGGGATGACGCCATACCAGAGCGACCACCTACGCCCAGGGAGCCCCAGTGGCTGTCGTCTTGCATCCCGTGACCCTGACTTCCACCGCCGTAACTGCCAAGTCCTCCTGATTGGGATGAGCCATTTCCCATCTGCATAAGACATTTACAGATAATTTTGAAATTGAGGCGGGATAACAACAGGAAAGTCATGTTTTTGACAATTATTTTATGTCGTAGAAATATGTAAATTGTGCACTTTTTACATACCTGTGAGGACAAAATCGATGAGGGCGAGCCCCCATATGCCGACCCCATGAGAGAATTTCCGAGGGCGGCCGCATACGACGCGGATGCCGCAACGGCCGCAGCAGCAGCGGATGAGGAGCTTGTTGCATTCACTGGTGACGACATTGACCCATTTGTCGAGCCCATTGAAATCGACATGGTGCCCATGGAGGGGGAGGAGGCCATTGGGGTCATTGAAGAACCTGAAGGATTTAGTCCGCTTAACTGCGACTGAGAAGTCACGACACTGCCGACGCCACTCGATGAGTACAAATCTGTAGGACCTGCCACAAACAGAGGGCCGGAAATTAGTACAGGAAATTACAATAAATTTGCAAATTTCTCATTTAATCAAATACTAAAACTATTTCTTCAAAATCATGGAATACGTAGTCACTCGAACAAAACGAGAACGGATGTCAGTACACAAGTAAGAGGACCTTGGATCACGTCGCGTTACATATTCAATCATTCTCTATTTTACACGATGCAGTATTCCGCCATCCATTTCATCAACATTTCATTATTACCCCATTCACCACCCAATTTATTATAAGGGCATTTGAGGTGGCTGAATTTGAGCAAAGGTCGAATGAATTGTATGCCACTTAAAATATTTACTATACAGATTATGTATCTGCATACATATCTAACTGCAATGGGCAGGACTACGGCGACAGACAAAATCAACAATCACCATCAGAAGCAAACAATACGACAGCTAACTAAATTTAAAAAAGAAATTGAATTTTTCATCTCTATGTAGCCGTCGTCGTCGTCATCATCGTGTCGTGCTTACAGCAAACCTGTCTATTTCTGCATGCTGCCAGTCACGCATTGTTAAATACGGGCCATCCATCTACAGGCCTCAGTTAATTTCTATTGGTAGATTAGCATGCATATAAAATAAAATAAAATAAGGTGTTGTTTCCAACAATCCCATTTGTTAGACGGGCTAAATTTTAGATGCAGCTTGGTTCGAGGCGTTTTGTTATTGTCGGATAAAACAAATTGTTTATTTTCCAATTTCCATCTATATCCTCCATCCATTCAATGAACGGCACCACACCTTCTTGTTACATGACTTTGGTCACACTTTCTCTTTTTCAATGTTAGCATTTATTTCCCACTCCTACGTGTGCACATACGTAGGTACGACTGGACGTGACTTTTGTTTCCTTACAATGAACAACTGGCATGCATATCACTAAAAATTCGTACTTTATGCACTGGAATATATTTGAATCATAACTTACTTTGAGGGGTGGCCGCGAAGTGGGAGTCGTGGAGGGAGTGGTGCGGGTGGTGGGACGCGAGGACGCCGTAGGACGACGTGGGTGTGGGGTAAACGGGAAGCCCGATGCTCATCCCCGTCGAGTTTCCGTAACTACTCCCGTTCCCACTCGTCACCTGCTTCCGAAGTCGGGCCCTTCTGTTGCTGAACCAAACCTGGAGTGAAAAACAATCACATTTTTATGTGTGCCCAGTTGCAACGATTTTTAAATTCTCAACATGAATTCGAGCCGTGGCAAACGTAACGTAGTGGACGATTTGATTATTAAGGCAACATATTAAAATTAAACAAATACAAATCTCACATTCCGCAACAGACATGCATAATTAAGACGAAACTTTATGCAACACAAAAACACCTTTGTTGCACATATGCATGTAGAAGGTCTTGAATTAATTAAACCTGTCAATCCCTTCGCCAAATTCGGTAGCAAATGAATTATAAACAATTCGACCACCACACACACAGAGAGAAACGTACAGATTGGTCGGTCTCATCAATGCAGGAATCAATTTTATACTTTTAATAGCCAACAGCCACCGAATTTGAAAGCAACCCTCAAAACAATTGTCTCGGCTCAAGAATCATCAGCGCAAACAATGCAGCCTTTATCTCATCCACAGCCCTGGGCGTCCACAAAGGAAACCCTTGACGGATGGTACGTAGCAGGTAATAATGGAAGAAGGAATTTCCTATTATGCAACTGTTCATCTCGCTGGACAAACTAATTTAGACCGTGCCAAATAATAAAAATTCATCAAGGAGGAAAAGCCGCTTCTCAACAAGTTAATCAAGGTGCGAAAATTATCTACAACCGGTGATCATAATTATTTCTAGTGCAAAGTTTTGGTTGGAAGAAAGTGTAAAAAGTTTGCATAAATTTTTCCAGCTTGGGTATACGTAAGTACATAATATTGGTCGTTTATTTTTCCAGCATCTCAGTTTTGCCTGTAGATTTTTGATGAAAAACTTTTTCTCTTCATAATGCCTTTAAACAAAACAATTAATTTTATTTTTGAGACCATTCGAATTTTGTCTGGGTTTCCCAAGCCAAAATCTTCCCAGTTTCCTATATCATTATGTATGTAGACATATGTGTAAAAATTCCACTCGTCGACAACTCATCCTCACCAAGAGATACTTTCCAATTTCTTATAAATACTCCCATCGCCGTGTTGTTATGAGCTGTGAGAAAAATTTGGAGATTCATTAAAAGGACAACAATGACTTGCGATTTTGTAAGTATAACGTTCGAGCAGATGAGAAACGCAACTAGTCGATTGAGTTTGGCTCCGGCAGTTAATAATAACAAGAAGACGCAAAGAAGAAGGAGACCCAAAGTCCTAAAGACCGATTAGTTTTTGGTTCAGTTGTTGTATGGTTGATGATAATTCAAAATTACATTCGTCGTCTCCTCGTTTTCAAACTCCTGTTCATTTCACTCGTCGTTGTGGCGCATCCACAAAAATTGTTGGATTATTAGAGCAGCAGTAATAAATAAATATCCAGCGCAGTGAGAATTATGTACGTTGACCATCCCATCCATCCATTCCTTCCTTCTTTCTTATTATAGCTCACAAACAATGCCACGCCGCAGCGGTGTCTCAAGAGATGAGGATCAGCCTAATTTGTTGGCAAGATCAGAAGTCAGTTGCCTGCCAGAAGTTTATTAGTGTGGGTAGGCATTGAACAGCTTATGCAATATATCCCAACCGCAATGTGATGAGCATAAACCATATAATCATAAAAGTCGGGACCCTCTTTTACAGGCAGTAACAACTGATGAACGTAATTAATAAGGGGGCAATGTGCAATATTCTTATGGTCGTCGTTTATCTGCATGTTGGTATCGATAGGTGACAATAAAGACGCAATTTTTGTAAAATAATAACTAACCTGTATTCTGGCCTCTGTCAATTTTGTCCTTTGTGCGAGTTCCTCTCTTGTGTAGATGTCCGGATACTGGGTTCGTTCGAACGCCTTTTCCAACTCGTCCAGTTGATGAGCCGTGAAAGTTGTGCGACTTCGACGCTGTTTTCTCTTTAGAGGAATTCCAGGTTCGGATTCGCAATCTGATCCGTCAGAGCTCTTGTCACCTAAAGATACAGATGAGACACGAATTATGGAAATTGTCAAGGAATTGACATCAACGAGCAAAATTAATACGAAAGTAAACTTGTTTGAGACTTAGATAAATATAACACTGTTTAGGAGTAAACTTTTAATCACAAAAAGCACAAGGAACTTATATTCTCAAAGATTAAACAGATACACGGCACACTGAAATCAGAATATTGAATTGTGCAGCTTCACATAATTAATTAAATTCAGAGGCAGGTCTTGAATAAAAGAATCAAAATCTACAAAACACCATCCAACTCAACAGTAGATCGTCTCTTCTACTCGTGAAAGATTCTCATACTTTGAACTACGTGTGGACCACCATCACGTAGCCAAGTTATGAAATCTAATAAATATTCAGCCTAATTTTTGTATTAAATGTCACGCAGGAATGATTTTTAAGCTAAACTGCGAAATTAAGTTCTGCCAGTTTAATCCAGAAAAGAACGCTAACTCGTATAAATTAAAAAGTGTACATTCATTATCGCCACCCACGCGTAAGCATAATATTCATCAATTCCTCTTCTTCCATGCCTCAGAAGTAGCACCGACATAGAACAAAAAGTATAAAAAACCGACCCCGATTTTTTCCTCGCCTTCTCCTCGAAATGAAGAATGAAGGAGACAAATGTGTCTGGGGCTGGTTCGGTGAGTCGGTATCTTTTCTGACTTATTAGTTGACTCGTTGAGCAAAGAGTAAACTGGTTGAAAATTATAAATTTGTGTGAAGGAGCCACAGTAACGCACTGAGGATGAGGTATTCCTCCATCCACCAAATAGATATTACGTAGTGCAGGGCTTGGAGGAAAATTAAATGAAGGTGGAGTAAAACATTGAATCACATCTCCTGATGTTCTCCAAGTTATGAAATCAATGTTGGTTGCATGTATTTTTTTCTGACTGAAAGAAACACGGTGAGATTCTTCCTGTGGCCGTGTGAAATGGTGCATTGTCGGTGTGGCGTTTATTTAAGAGAAAGGGAGAAGGAGCCGCCTCTTTAGCCCTAATTACGGGATGCGACCCTAAGGTTTCATCTCCGTATTTGTTTCAACTCCTTCTCTCTGTAATAATATTTATTTGTGGCTATTTGTCAATTTGTCAGAGTACACAGCCTTCATTATGCTGTCTCACACCCTGTACTTTTACAAACTCGGCTCGTCTTCTCCTGCCCAGAAACTGCACATATTCACATTTCGTGTTATGCAGTCTTTTTGAGAATTCCAATTTCTGACAGCAGAAATTTTCCAACTTCCGTATGAGGGAAAATGCAGCAAATTTGCAATTCTAGAGCCACGGAGATGAAGGAGGAGGAGGAGGAATTGCAGCAGAAAATATTGTATATTATAATGAAATGATTGCATGTACGGATTATACGACAATACACATGCAATTACTCTAATGACAATGTCGAGAGTGAGAATAAGCTTGAAAAAACACTTCAAAAACGCCGGCAGCTGTGGTAGCATATCAGCCTAATAAATTCACATATTACATAGTTAGTTGGCTCATATTTGCTGGTTGTGTTGTTGGTTGGTGGTGGTGTAATGTAATAATTTATTTTGTTTCATATCAAAAAGTTGCATGATCTGCACGCATTTTTCAAACAACCCCTTCCGGTTGTTTTTGTCGTGAAGTTTACCAGCTTAATTTTAATTCAAATGTCGATGATGATAACCTCCCCTCGTTTCTATTTCTCCCTTTATTACGTGTAATGATGTATCCCACTTGCCCACTTACATCCACTTGTACATGTTTTTTTTACAAGATATCAACATTACTCAAGGAAAAGAATTAAATCTCTAGCTAGATTTTTAAACAACACAAAATTATTTTCACTTGCCATCCAAAGAAGGTTTTTTGTCCATGTCGTCACCCTCGCGACCTCTGAGCAGTCGGGAGATCGCGCTAACGGAAGGGGCAGAGGATCGGTCACATATTCCTTCCTTTATCAATCTGTGTAGGTCGTAAAGAAATAAATTAGAATTATTAGTGACTGACAAATATTTAGTGATAACCAAAGTCACACTAATGCAGCAACAGATAAGGAGGTGAAGACGTGAAAAGCTCTCGGAATACATAGCCGTTACCATTTTTGGTATTTCTAGAGTATTGTTTTTTAAGTTTGTTTCGTCGAATGCGTACGTTATCAGTTTTACATATGTAGATATATTAAGTAAAAATCGCTACTACCATCACGCCCAAAATTTATGTTCTCCTCATGTGACGGGGTATTTAATGCACGATAAAGTTTGAAATTTACTTGCTCATTAATCATTATGGTTTTCACTGAATTTTGCATGTCGTGCTTCTACGAAAAAAACTGCAGAAATGTGATGTAAGATGTACAATTTCGGGACATCTTATCCCACGTCTTGGAACCCTTTCTATTTTTTTCGTCTAGTCTCTTCTATCCGTTTACTTGTATGATATTCGAGTGGCATAGACCAGAAGGAGCCTTCCGAGTCGTATTAAGTCTTTCACCCAGTTCGGTGTCATAAATAAAATTCTGTCAACTGATTCTTCTGTTCGTTCGTATAAATGGCCTCAGCCAGCCGATAACGTGAAGAGACGTCTTCGTGTTATTAAAACTAGTTTAAGAAAACGACTCTGGGATTATTCTTCAGAGTTTCTGTGTCTCTCCCATTTTACGACCCTGGGCTCACTGCTGCGTGTCCTACGGGGGCTGAGGACACAAGTCTCACTAATTAAAACAAACTATTTCCTTTTATGCTGCTACTGATCTGTTAACTAAACCAACTAATTCCTCGAAGAACGAACGGAAGATTTACAACCTATCCAGTTTGACCCTACGACAAATGAGCACTTTTTCATGCCTGTCCCAATAAGTATGGATGGCTTAGGGAAACAGTTATGAGTACATATGTACACACATGAAGAAAGCGTGTTTCCATCCTGAAATAGAACTTGGTGATAATAATACGTATAATTTGATCCATGGACTCACCTGTCCCTTATTTCCCACGAGAAGACACCCGGGTTTTCTTTGCGATAGTCTTCAATTCTCTTCTCCACATCCGGTGTGGCGATTCGAGGTTTGCTGCCACCAATGACACCGGGACGAATGGAACCCGTTTCTTGATATCTGTTCAATATTTTGGACACGCAGCCATGGGAGACTCGTAATTGTCGGGAAATTACGCATGGTCGAACTCCAGACGCGGCCATTTCCACAATTTTTAATCGTATGTGATTTGGGAGGGGACGTCCGTTGATGAACACTCCCCCCAACTGGTTTACGCGCCCTTGTCCTGTTTCTCGGGAACAAATCAAGGAACAATTATAGCCTTGCCAAGTAGAATCAAACAATTATTTTTTGATTATCCATGTCATTTTACTCTTCATTATGATATCATAACTTGTGAAATTATTTGTAATTTTTAATCATGATTAGCTAGATAGCTAATTTTAACAAGTGTGTAGCAGCAACCCCATATAAATTTTGTCGGACAACCCTGTGATGATAATGATGTCCTCCTGTTATCGTTTTGTTCTTGTACTAAGCGATTCTCAAAAGATTTATAGAACTGCTTTGGCTTATGACATCAATCAGCCGTGATTTATGGTCCAATGACTCGTTGAATGATGCCATCAGGATAGCCAACCCCCTTCCTTGGAGGGGACACTTTAGTCAAAAACTAACTTTAGTTGTTGGCGTATGTACGTAAGGATCAGGAGAAGATTAAGACGAACTGCTCTTGGGTGACAAGGAGTAAACTTGCAACTTTGTTAATATCGCATTACAATGGTTTGGTTTGGTCGGTTCCCATCGTAAGAAGCTGTCAACTAGTATTCAGAGAATTATTTACAACCAGAGAGCCAAACACTTTCCAATTTTACGGCTGTAAGTAGTTTTACAACATGTCGTTCTGTTTTACAACACTGGTTATCAATTCTGACTCAGGGTCTGACTCGCTCATTGAAAATTTGTCAACTTGTCATGTATTTCGCTGTTCAAGTTCAACTCTGACTTTTTGCTTTGTGGACTATTTGACTTAAGTGAGAAGGACTCTTGTACTAAGAAAAGAGTGGGTTTAATAAGATGCCGTATAGTTGTGAATGACGCTTGGGTTTAGATTTTATTATCTTCTCTTTAACTCGATGTTACTTAACTACCACGTGGGATGTAAAATGCTATTCAGAACACATTGTTACCCATATTGACACTTGTAACCAACAATGCATTGATCTCTCAGAACAATTCCTTGTTTTATGTGTGATACAAACTCTATGTAACTAACCCAACGCAGAATTTGGGTAAAAAATATGTAGATATGTAAATCTCTAATAAGCATGAAATATTTATGTTAGAAAATAAATTTCGCATACCAGCAAACGGATACCCTGTGAAGCAAGGTCGCATCATTGCGATATTTGTCACAGTCATGTCTGGCGTCCCCAGCATGAATTGATAAAATGAGTCCAGCAGAAGACGGTGTCGACAGAAATCTCAACTTCCCTGTTGAACCCCTCTCAAGTAATAAGTGCTAATTATTCGTAATAAGTATCACTTTTGAGATTCACTTCACTTTAAACAAGACGATGATGAGCACAAGGTCTTCAACTTAAGTCTCACTTTCTTCCTGTCAATTACATAGATTAAGAACAATAACTGTAAAATGCGTGAATTGAAGTCGCACAAACGTGATATTTTTGCTTCCAGGCACTTTTTATCATTTCTCCAATTTTCACAATGGGCAACTAATTACTTTCTGTGAAGTATCAGGTCGTAATATATTTTTGTGGTTGAGGTGTGAATCGTTTGGCATCTAAACCAATAATGAATGAGGCGAGTTGACTGCTCACTTAAGCAGGATCGCTTTGAGAACAAACAGGGTTGGTTTTCGTTGGGTGGTTGTGAGACTCCTCGTTTAAAAGTTCTTAACAACGACGACTATTTACTACTCGCAGAGAGGAGATGGAACGTTGCCTGATCTGATGTACATGCATCGTATCGTGAGGGCTGGGATGGTTGGACCTCGGTTTCTCAACAAAAGACATGCTCACAAAGATTGGATTTCTTTCTTTATAGAGTTACAATTACAATAGAGTTACAATTATTTATGTACAACTCCCACTACTCCTTCTGCTGGAGCAGAAGTCTTCTCTTAAAAAAGATGCATCGGAAAGAGTACGGTATCGACGACCGAGAGAGTCGTAAAGAATGAATGAGTGGGAGTGGGAGTAGAAATATAATGAAATAATGGGATGAAAACTTTGAATTTTGAAAATTTTTCGAATTTTGAGAAATTCTGTGAGAAATATGGTATAGTCGGCTCGGAATGGATGCGGCAGGTGATGCGGTGCGGGTGAGGATGGATGGATGAGATAGTTGGCCAGGAGAGAAGAGTTAATAAGCAGTTTGGAGTAGACAACCTGCCCCTGCCACTTTTTCGACAAACCCATTGGGGGCTCATAAGTTGGTGAGGCGGAGGCTGTCTCACCATTCGCCCAAATCCCCTCTCTTCACACTCTCGATAAAAACGCATCTCTGTCTCCTCTCCTCTTTTTAATATTTTATTACACAGCCTCCTCCAATGCATTCTTCTTACCCGGTGGTAAACTAGCCAATTTTTGTTAAACAAGCACATGTTTTTTTCGCACGAGAAATTTCGGATAATTAATACTCAAAATATCTGGATTTTCTAATGATGTTTTTACATGAACAAATGTAATGAGATTTCTTGGAAGTTCGATTTTGCCAAAAACACCGTCTGACGTCTGACCCATCCTAAAAGACACAAAAAAGTGACAAAGGTGTGTGTGCAAGCTAAATAGACATTGAAAGATGACTGAAATGGATTCATCAACAATTTGCAATGTCATTTATTGCAGAGTTTGTTAATTCTCGGCGACGAAGGTGTAGTAGTGATGCTCACCACAATTACTCACGTTTAACTACTATGTACCTGCTACCTGTTTAAAACAAGGTATCCATTTTTTCAACTTGTAATAAAATTGGAAAAGAAGGGTGACGTTAAAATGTGTCATGTGAATGTCAAAATTTAAAAATATTAACGAAAAGCTTGCTAAAATTAGTCAGGAATTCGCCTTTACTACAATTTAGACTTGTTCTTTTTGGTTCGGAGAGCTAGCTTTTTCCGTTCTCACGGTGCGATATGATGCTTGACGTTCTCCATTAAATTCATTGCTTGGCTTCTTTGGTTAAATTTTTATTTTTGGAAGAGTTATAAAACGTTCAAATCCCAACAACCGAGACTCGAGTGAGTAGCAACACACCAAATTCTAAGCTTTAAACCTAACGCACCACCAAGCAAGCAAGCAGTGATTTTATTTTTTCTACATTTCTTGGCTTAGAATCGACAGAGCGTAAAGTGTGCTTTAAAACCCTATCGTTTTTTGTCTCAACTCCACCGAGTTGCTCAAGACCATGTTCACATATTTCGTGATTGAGTATGATGGATAATTGTCCATTTATTTTGACAGTGCTGAAAAAATTGCACGTATTGAAACATTTCGCCCATTCCTTTGCCAATAACTAGCCAAATATTCAGAAGCCTTGTGTTGTTTGTGGCGGTGTATGAAAATAGCATTGATTTTTCAAGTACAGAGTAATGAGAGTCCCCAAAACAACATGGTCACACAGTTTTATTTCTACCACTGCTCCTTACCAATGACTACTTTATGTGCCTGCAGAGATATGTCGCTACCTTGTCCCCACTACAAAACGACTGCTTCGTTGAATTGTGATGTGAATGTGACTTGAATTGAGTTGAATGTGAATCACTCAACATTCTTTGCTTTACCTTCACTTACTTGACTTGCTCTTTATTCATGAAAAAGTGTCGTTTTCCTTAGTTCTTTGGTATTGTTGGTGCAGAGCACAGAGCAGGGTTGTCATCAAGCGTGGAGACTTTTGGTAAACGAGATTCCCCACCTGAAGTACGCTCTGGGGGATGCAAATTATCTGACAACAGTAATTTGCATGCTTCTTGACTAGTACCACCAGTATTGCAGCAAATTACGTCACTTTTTTGTCATTCTTCGCCTCTAAGTAAATACATATTATTAGAACTTGTTTATTTTTCTTACATAAAATCAAGCAAGTACATATGTACCTACAGGTATGCATACATATGTATGGCTATTTTTAGTAGTAAATATTATGACGAAATTACGCAGCTGCTCTGGAAATTATACTATTATTCCATAAATTTCATCGCTATTTGAGACGTTTCGACAAGCCAATTTGCTGATAATGTCTTCTTGTGGCCTTTACTACATCTGAAATGTTTGTATCCTTTACCTCAATCATTAGCTCAATATTTTGAGTGCATTGTGTAGTTGGTAAAGTTGAAAGTTTGATAAAGTGTTGGAGCCAAGGTGAAGGTGGAAACCCCTCCGATCCCAAAGTAACCGACACCACAGGACTCATGATGCAGGAAAAGTGGAAACTTTGGCTTTTCTTTTCTGGAATAAAAAGCAACATTATATCACCCTTCATTATTTCACATCCCAAGCAGTCCAATTTCAGAATAGGAAAAGTGTGTTGCTAGCAGAAGAACAGTATATTCTTCACTTCGCCATACATACATTTGTATTTTCATTCTGTTGTACGGCAGCAAAAGCGGTGTTACGTTTTCATGCACCATCTTCTTGTCTCAACAACAAGTGGCTCTTTTCTTACGCCAGAAATGGGAACACTTTCGGTGGGAAGATTAATCATTTTTTCGGGGAAAGAAAGGACCTTTTTATGAAGAACAACTGACAGGATTGATCATGCAATATGTGTCTAAAACCTATTTCGTACATGAGCATCCTACAACTAACTTTAAAGCAGCACCGTTTTATGAAATCTTGGAATATAAATAAAAATCCGCTAAAATTTCATAATCAGTCAGCTCTATTCTATTATGACTCTTAATAAACTTTCGAAGTTTAGAACAATGTTTGAGGCAGAGGAAAAAGCACTTTGGATGCTGACGAGATAATGGAACTGGGCCAGTAGTATGTACTATTATTCGGAAGAACATTATATTTTGTGTACTGGTGCACTACTACTGCTGCTGATGCCACTAAACAGACCACTAAACAATGACAATGCAAAGCAGAACACCGAAGCTAACCAGAGATTCTCACCACCAATTTCCATTCCTTTTCTTGTTAAAATGAATGCGTTCTACACGCAACTCGTTTACGTTACAATTTGACCGAGTGAAGATGCAAAAAAAGAAACGGGATGAAAAAATTGTAATTATTTTGCTCGTAAATTTGAGGATTTTTAGCAAATGCAAATCAATTCGGTGTTCATCATAGGTGAGCTTCTTTGTGAGTTCTAGAACTAAAACTGATACCTGGAAGTAGCGATTGTAAAATTAGGACCGGACCGAAAAATACGGCTATCCGAAACTGGACCAGGACCTCGGACCGAAATATAATATTAAGTGCTACATAGATTATAAAAACCTGCGGTCCGGTCGAAATCCGTGGACCGTTGCGATCAGTACCTGGAAGGAGAGAGACAGGAGGGCGAAGGAGGCGAAGGCGCATCATTTGGTGAGACTTTGTTGAGGGAGAAGGTGTTAGATTGATGTGTACAGATTGCAGGGGAGAGTGAGAAGACAAATGGATCGCATTGTGTGGTTTCCAGAGTTTCCAACCTTTCGGTCCTTTTGAGGCAAATCTTACAATTTTTCTTGTTCATTTTTTAACTTTCCACCTCCAAATTAAGTTTCCGACGCCCCTCTGGGTCTTACTCGTACCGCTGAGCCCTGAGACAAAAAAAGAGGTACAAAACAATAACTCCTTTTGTCGACGGTACCCTATTAGAAAGTGGATCTGGAGCATCTCATGTTGCTCGTTGGTATCGTCTCCGTCTTCCGTTGGAGGAGTTCGATATGAGAAACAACTTGTTGGTTTGGATGATGATGATGATGATGACTGATCTCATTCCATTATTTCGCCAGAATGACTTGACACTCCTCTCTCACTCATAAAACTCATTTAAGCCCGTTAATATCACACCCCGCTCTTCTAGATACTTACTTATTCTTCTTCTCCATAATCCCATACTCAACTAGAAACATGTTTGAATCACATGCAGGGAATTTAGTAAATTAGCAAAAACATATTTCGTAATGTTTGTTCCTCTCACAGGGAAAAATTCCAAATAATTAAGCATATTATTTAGCCATGCAGTGCGCCAATGGCTGTCTGCCTACCTCCAGTTTACGTAAAATGAGTAGGATTTTTTATTTGTTTTTAGGTGAAAGGGACAACAAAGATACGAAGCAAATGGCATGACAGGGTGGCCCCATGTTGGTGGTGGAAGTGATGAGGAAATAAAACAATGGGATGTCGCACGATCTAATTTCCTGGCTCCTGGAGACCATTCTTTAATAATGGACCCATGTTTGTTTCACAGTAAAGTCGTGTCCTTTGGTCCAGCCACACAAACGTGGTCTAACCTCTCTCTGCCTCTCCCAATTCATGCATTCAAAGATAAGACCTCTGGCATTCTCGGCTGGGTGTTTTTGAGTTATTGTTAACATTTAAGCGACACGAGGATACAATATAATGGCAGTTATTATATAATAATAATGTCCAAGTCTAAAGTGGTGGAATGCTCATGAATTTGGCTCCTCTGTGGTTATAAAGAAACAAATTACGATGCATCACTGCGGACAATAATGGTTTAATGGATTTCTTTTCGTACGTAGTACTTGTATCATGGCCCCACTTTAAAAAAGCTATCCAACACCAGATGTGTGTTAAGCGTGTGACATTCGCCTAAACAAAATTTAACAATTTCTACAACGACCATCATTCAATTCAAGGAATACAAGCTCCATTATCGAACTAAAAAGTTATATTATTATTTGTGAACTCGGTCATAATTATAAATCGGATCAGTTTATTGGTGAGAATGTATCAAATTGGGACAGAGCGAGAGAGAAAAAAGAGCGTTGAAACGAAGCAATTTCCGGCCAATTAAAAATTTGAGCAAACCCAACATGAACGGGCAGCAACAAGAGGCGAGGAGGAGGAGGGATTGAAAAAAAGTGGAAAGGTGGCAGTTGTCCATTGTTGTTGATTGTTTTTTTAGTAATATTAAGGATGGACCATTTCCAGCCAGCTTGGTGAATGAAAGTCTTGTGAATTCGAAATACATACGAAATAATTGGCGGGTGCATGTGTGAGCTTTATTTTTGGTTTGGCCACTATTAAGCTTTTCACTTCATTTCGTTCAAACTTTTGAATTGGTGACTGACAGCTTGAACCAAAAAAATACATGGAGTTACGAGGACCAAATTTTTAGAGTTGAATTTGAATTAAACAATGATCAGTAGCAGGAGCAGCAGCAGTAACACATAAT